CCAGGGCAAATAGTTCGTGAGACCCTATCTCGAAAATATCCAACACAAAAAAGGACTGGTGGAGTGGCTAAAGTTGTAGAGTGCCTGTCTAGCAAGTGTGAGGCCCTGAGTTCAAACCCCAGTACTACCAAAACCAAAAAACCCAAAACAAAGATTTTTGTCAGTTGTTTTAGTAATGCCTGTAAATAGCACATCCATAATATTCATGCAAGGATATACATAAAAAGGGCTATGCATGTAAGGGTTTGTAAGGGTAAGAGCACTTGCCTAGCATGTAAGGGTTTGAGTCCCAGTACCAGGGGGGAAAAAAGTGACAGCTGGGACTGATCAGATTCACTGAAATCTCATACAAAAAAACCTGGTAGGCTCTGAAGTCAGTAACAGGTCTGGTTGATTTACCAGTCAGCATGGGTGGGAAACACTTGGAATACTCTCAACAGGTTATCTGAGCTTTTCTAGCTTTTTCTGGTTCATGTATAGCCCATATGTGGACCTTATAGGGGCTCATGGCCACATGTATGATCCTCAGGGTGACACCTAGGTCTGTCAATGTGTATTTGGGTTACATGCATGCTCAGGGTGGAACTTGAGTAAGACAGACAAAGCATGGTGGCACATGCCTCTAATCTCAGTGCCTAGGAGGACAGCAAAGTCAAGGTCAGCCTGAGCTTCATTAGTGACTCTCTGTCTCAAAAAACCCAAAAGCACAACAAGAAAATTGAAATGGAACTTGGAATTTTGGTAGGGATTGAATCAAGTTTGTAACCAGTCTGGGTAGGATTGGCATCTTTTTTTTTTTTTTTTTTTTTTTTCTGGGCTTGGGCTTGAATGCTGTACCACTTTAGCCATGTCCTCAGCCCTTTGCTTTTCAGATAGAGTCTCACATTAACTTTTCCCAGGCTGACCTCCACCTCCTGAGTAGCTGGTTTTATAGACAATGATTGGTATCTTGGTCCACTTAACGGACATGGAATATCCTTCCATTTATTTAGGTCTTCTTTGAGTGATGTTTTGTTATTTTCAGTATATAGATCTTTTACTTCCTTAGATAAAATTGTGCTTGGGTGTTATATTCTTTTGGATGCTAATAGAAGTGGAATTATCTTCTTAATTTCCTTTTTTGGGTTGTTCATTGCCGGTGTATACAAACATCACTGATTTTTGCACATTGATCTTGTATAGTAGCATTTTTGTTTGTTTGTTTTTGTGGTACTGGGGTTTGAACTCGGCCTACACCTTGAGCCACTCCACTAGCCACAAAAAAGTTTATGCTGTGTTTTTATTAAGATAGGGTTTCACAAACTATTTGCCTGGGGCTGGCTTCGAACTGTGATCCTCCTGATCGCTGCCAGCTAAGTAGCTGGAATGACAGGCGTGAGCCACTGGCGCCTGGCTATAGTAGCATTTGTAATGGATTCTTTGGGGGATCATGCCATCTGCTAGTGTAGATAGAGTTACTTTTTCCTTTCCAATTTGGATACCTTTCATTTTATTTTCTTGCCTAGTTGCTCTGGCTATAATTTCCAGCACAGTGTCGAATAGCAGTTATGAGAATGAGCACTCTTTCCTTGCTCCTGATCTTAGGAGAGAGCTTTCAGCCTTTCACCATTGAGTGTGATGTTAGCTGTGTGTTTTAAATAAGTGTCCCTATCATACTCAGTAAATTTATTTCCATTACTAGTTTTCCAAATGTTTTTGTAATGAAAGGATGTTGGATTATGGCAAATGCTTTTTATTCATCAACTGAAAAGATCATGTGGGTTTCCCCCTTTTCTTATTAGTGTGATGTATTACATTGATTACAGTGTTTTCTAGAGTTCTCCTTATAATGCCTCTATCTGGCCTTGGCATAGGGGTGATGGTGGCCTTACAGAATGCGTTAGGAAGTGTTCCCTCCTCTCCTGTGTTTTGGAAAAGTTTGAGAAGGGTTAATTCTTTAATGTTAGTAGGATTTACAGTGATGCCATCTGGTAGTAGACTTTTTTTTGGGAGCTTTGCTTTCTGTTTTGTTTTGTTTCTGGTGGGATTGAAGTTTGAGCTCAGGGCTTCACACTTGCAAACCAGGTGCTTTACCACTTGAACCACACCTCCATCCTGAACTTTGTTTTCTGAATCATTTTCTGCTTGTTTTAGGTCTGTAGATTTTCTATTTCTTTTTGAGTCAGTTTTGATAGTGTGTTTTTCTAGGAAATTGTTCACCTCATCTAGCTTACTTAATTTGTTGGCATACAATTGTTCATAGTACTATCTTGTAGCCCTTTTTTTTTTTTTGTGGTACTGGGATTTGAACTCAAGGGCCTCACACTTGCAAGGCAGGTGCTCTTACCAGTTGAGCCACTCTGCCAGCCCTGTTTTAGTCCATCTTTTTTTTTTTTTTTTAAGTCAGTCTAGCTAAAAGTTTGTCTATTTTGTGGATATTTAAATAAATACAATACTTTTCATTGATTGTTGTTTTTTCTTTTGTTTACCTCTGCTCTAATCTTATTGTTTATTTTCCTCTACTACTTTTCCTTCCTTTTACTAGTTTGTTTTGGTCTTCTTTTTCTAGTTCCTTAAGTTATATAATTAGATTATTAATTTGAGGTCTCTCTCTCTCTCTTTCTTATTTATTTTTGTGGTGCTAGAGATTGAATCCATGTCCTTGAGCATGTTAAGCATCAGCTGTACCACTGAGCTGTACCTACAGTCCCCACTCTTTTTTTCGTTCAGTGCTGGGGTTTGAACCCAGGGCATTGAGCTTGCTTGGCAAGCACTCTAGCACTGAGCTATATCCCCAGTCTCCCACTCCTTTTTTTTTTTTTTTTTTAAACATTTAAGTAAGTTAGATCAGCTATTAAGATTTCAGAAAGCATCTTATTTCTGAATCTTTTGTTTACTTTTTATTTTATTTTATTTTATTTTTTTTTTTTTCTTTTTTCATTTTTCTTTTATTATTCATATGTGCATACAAGGCTTGGTTCATTTCTCCCCCCTGCCCCCACCCCTCCCTTACCACCCACTCTGCCCCCTCCCTCTACCCCCCCCCCAGTACCCAGCAGAAACTATTTTGCCCTTATTTCTAATTTTGTTGTAGAGAGAGTATAAGCAATAATAGGAAGGAACAAGGGTTTTTGCTGGTTGAGATAAGGATAGCTATACAGGGCATTGACTCACATTGATTTCCTGTGCGTGGGTGTTACCTTCTAGGTTAATTCTTTTTGATCTAACCTTTTCTCTAGTACCTGTTCCCCTTTTCCTATTGGCCTCAGTTGCTTTAAGGTATCTGCTTTAGTTTCTCTGAGTTAAGGGCAACAAATGCTAGCTAGTTTTTTAGGTGTCTTACCTATCCTCACCCCTCCCTTGTGTGCTCTCGCTTTTATCATGTGCTCAAAGTCCAATCCCCTTGTTGTGTTTGCCCTTGATCTAATGTCCGCATATGAGGGAGAACATACGATTTTTGGTTTTTTGAGCCAGGCTAACCTCACTCAGAATGATGTTCTCCAATTCCATCCATTTACCGGCGAATGATAACATTTCGTTCTTCTTCATGGCTGCATAAAATTCCATTGTGTATAGATACCACATTTTCTTAATCCATTCGTCAGTGGTGGGGCATCTTGGCTGTTTCCATAACTTGGCTATTGTGAATAGTGCCGCAATAAACATGGATGTGCAGGTGCCTCTGGAGTAACAGTCTTTTGGGTATATCCCCAAGAGTGGTATTGCTGGATCAAATGGTAGATCGATGTCTAGCTTTTTAAGTAGCCTCCAAATTTTTTTCCAGAGCTCCCACTCCTTTTTTAAGGTAGGTGTTCATAGTTATAAATTTGCCTATAAGTACTGCTTTTGCAGCATACTATAACTTTTGTTATGCTGTATTTTTGTTTTTATTTGTTTCAAGACATTTTGTAATTTTCCATGTGACTTCTTTTTAGACACCATGGTTGTTTAAGGGTGTGGTAATTAATTTCCACATACTGTTCTTGGTTTTTTTTTTTTTGGTGGCACTGGGATTTGAACTCAGGGCTTTTTATTTGCTAGGCAGGTGCTCTACCACTTAAGCCATGCCCCCAGTCCTTTTTGCTTTAGTTATTTTATTTTTGGTGGCATTGGGGTTTGAACTCGGGGCCTCACACTTGCTAGGCAGGTGTTCTACTGCCTCGTGCCTCCAACCCTTTTTGCTCTGGTTATTTTGGATATAGGGTCTCACTTTTTTCCCAGGCTGACCTGGATTGAAATCCTCCTGTTTTACCCTTCCCATGTACCTGGGATGACAGGCATGCACCACCATGCCCAGCTATTGGTTGAGGTGGAGCCTTTCAAACTATTTGCCTGGGCTGACTTCTAACTGTGATCCTCTGATCTCTACCTTCTCAGTAGCTAGGATTACAGGAGTGAGCCATCATGCCTGGCCTGTATCATATGTTTGATCTCACCATTTTTTTTTTTTTTTTAAATAAAATTTTATTCAACAAAGACACACTGATATCCTTACATATTATTTGTTGCTGTTTTCATGTTACCGTGGCAGAGTTGAGTCATGGCATTTGAGGCTATATGGCTTGCAGAGCCTGAAATAATTCCTCTCTGGTTTTCATAGGAGAAGTTTTTAGACCCCTGGTTTAGAGTGTCTTTTTCGATTTCCATGGCTATAGTTAACTATAAATTGGCTCACATTGCAGTAGTCTGGTGAGATTTGACACATGTAGCCTGCTTTGTGTTTTCTGAAGCTTGTGAAATGGGCAGTTCTGACAACAGATCTGGGCATCCTCAAGGCCTCAGCTAGCTGAGAGGAGGAGCAGTCTTCCCCCTCTGAAGCTAGGGTGGAGGCAGCGGGACTGGGATGTGGCCATTCAATGGTGACTTCATGCATAGGATGGCCAACTGTCTTGGTTTGCCTGGGACCGAAGGCCGTTCTTGGAACCTAGGATTTTAGTTTTAATATCTGGAAAGCTGGGTAAACTGACACAGTTGGTTCTCCAGCTGGTTTTCAGAGTCTTACTTTTATCCCTCCACCCCAGTACCATTCAGGGAAACACCCAGCTATGCGAAAAGGCGGCGACTGGCTGGCCCCAGTGGCTTGGCATCCCCTCGGCCCCTGCAGCGCTCAGCAAGCGATATCAACCTGAAGGGTGAGGTACAGCCAGCAGCCTCTCCTGGGCCTTCGCTCCGAAGCCTCCCTCACCAGCTGCTGCTCCAGCGACTGCAGGAGGAGAAAGATCGTGATCGGGATGGTGAACAGGAGAATGACATCAGTAGCCCCTCAGCCAGCAGGAGTAGCCAGAGCAAAATCAGGTAGGAGGAGGCTGCGAGGCCTGGGATTGTAGAGTGCCAGGACCAAGCCAAGGAGGAGCCAGACTTGGGGAGGCTGGGAGGGGTGGTGCCTATGCAGTGATGGGTTGGGACTTGAGGTGGGGGACTCCCAGGACCCCAGACAGTCCTCCTTGGATGGAGCAGGGAAGAAGGTGAGGCCCTATAGATGGGTGAGCTTACCCACACTGTTTCTGGTTGAAACTGGGGCTTGCTCAGTGGGCAGCAGAGGGAGTTTTGTGTGAAGAGGGTATGGTCCAACCTGTAGTTAGCTCACTGCAGTATCAGGGCTGGTGGTAGGGGGAAAGGGGTGCCTCTTAGTGAGGGCCCAAAACCTATAGGTGACAACTAGCTCTGCTTCCATGGGGCAGTCTTGGCTTCCCCCCAGCCTCAGCCCTGTACACCTACAGAACTCTCCCCCACCCTTGCCAGCCCTAGGACCCTGAGAAACCATGGGCATTTGAGCAACTGGATGTCCCCAGAACTGGTGGGGGCTGGGGGTGGGCACTGGTTCTCAGATTGCCATTGTGCACCTTTGTCATCCATAAGACGAGACTAATCCTCCCAAGGCATTTTCTTTGGGAAGTCCTCCAGGATACCTGGGCAGGTGAGTGTGCTGGGACCCTGGCATACTGCAGGTGCCAGACACTGTGATCATGGGGTGTGTGTTCCTTGTGCTTTTAGAGCAAAAGTTGTCTTTCTTGCTTCTTTAGCCAGGTACATAGAATGTGTTTGGGAGACATTATTGGATGAAAGTGTTACATAAGCAGAGTGTTATTTCACAACGGCAGCTAACTTTTACAGTTCTATGGTCCCATGTACCACTGGGCTGAGCAGCAAATGCATGACTTTGGAGGCTGTACCTGCTAACCCTAACACTGTGTTAGAGGTGGGGGTCCTGGCACTCAGGTTGGGTCAGAGATTTGTCTGAATTCATAGAGTTAGGAATCAGTTTTCTGGAGTTAGAAATCAACTTACCTGGGTCTAGGTGTCTGGCAAAGGGAATGGGGTGTGTCAGGAGCTTATGCAAAGCCTTCTTTCCTGCCCCTATTCCCCTGATCATGCAGCCCGATCTATCTCTGTGCTGCCTTATGTCTGTCTCCATCTAGATTTGTTGGACCCCCCCCCCATTATCTGTCCTGTCCCAAATCACAATTTTCCCCTGAAGCTTTTGCATAGTTTGAATTTTCTAAAGGTTGAATGGCCTGGTGGCTGAAGGAACACAATGTTGCTGTTTTCCAAGAGGGCTGCCTGGGAGTGGATGTCTGTGGTGGCTGTGGCCATGGGTTCCTGCTTGTTTGTTCATTCACCCTTTATAGCAGACAAAAAAGAAAGACCCGCATGCCAGGGTTCCAGCTGGGCTTGCTCTGTGGGAGGGCAAAATTTTTTCTTTCTTCTCCACAAACATTTACTAGGTACCTGGAGTACCAAATATGGTGGGATTTTACAGCAGGGGTCCTGACTGGATCTCAGGGTATGGACAGCTGGGCCCAGGACTGAAAACAATTTAGGCGGGCTGTGATCCAGGTTAGAGAGCTTGCCCTGGATTGACAAGAGTTCTGCAGCCCCGAGGAGATGGCTGGGGAAGTCTGGTGCAAGGAGGAGGGAGAGACCGTGGGGCAGAGGGTCCTCTGTTGCCAAATGAAATTGGTTCTGGTGGACTGTGTGGGATTGCAGCGGCTCGCTGGTGCCCCCTGTTGGCCAAGCTTGGGACAGGACCCTTGGCAGCCCAGGGTAGCCCCAGAAATGAGGTCTTCAGGGTCTGGACCCAGCACCATAGCAAACCTACAAGAGCAAGTTTGGAGCTGAGAGTCTGTGAATGAGCAGGATTACAGTAGGTTGGGGAGTCAGTAATAATGTAGCAAATTCCCATGTCCCAGAGAGCCTTTCCATTGGCCGAAAAAGTGTTTTGGCCTGCCTTGATACTAGGGAGCCCAAGAAAGCTTGTGAATAGAGGAGGTGGAGAACTGATACCGCAGGCTTGGTGCCCAGGCCCAGGGAGTAGTCTGGGGAAGGTTGTCAGCATGGAGTGGGCATGGGTAGCAGGGACAGGTGTCTAGGACACAGGCCCAGGCACCCCAACTGCCCTTCCTGGAGAGCCAACGCGGCTTCTCTGGTGCGCTAGACCCTACGCCAGCCCTTCCCCAGCTTCCACCTGGCTGCTTCGGCACCGCTCCCCTCATCCGTGCGCCCACCTCCCGGCTAGCGCCCCTCTACAGGCTGCCCGCGTGGGGTCCACGGGGGGCGCCGCGGGTGGAGGGCGCGTCGGCCGCCGCCGCCCGCAGAGGGAGGAGCCCGCGCGGAGGAGGCGGGGCGCGGAGCGGCCGCGGCATGGAGCGAGCCCGGCGCGCCTGGGAGCGCAGCCCCGCGGCCCGGAGCCCTGAGCGGGCGCGGCTCGTGCGCTGGCGGGAGCGGGCCGGGCGCGGCGGCGCGGCCCATGGAGCGGCCCCGGGCCGGGCCCCCGGCGGGCGGGCTGGCGGCGGGCGGCGGCGGGCGGTGCGGCGGCGGCTGCGGTGAGGCCGGCGGCGGGGCCGGGCCGTGCGCCATGGAGGCCCCGGGCGCCGGCTTCGCGTGCCCGCTGCCCCCCGGCATCGCGTCTGTCACCTACGTGTTCGTCTACAGCCCGAGTGGGCCAGGCGGTCCCGGCCCCGCGCCCGGTCCTGGCCCAGCGCCCCCCGCGCCCCCCGCGCCGCCGCCCCGGGGCCCGAAGCGGAAACTTTACAGCGCCGTCCCCGGCCGCAAGTTCATCGCTGTGAAGGCGCACAGCCCGCAGGGCGAGGGCGAGATCCCACTGCACCGCGGCGAGGCCGTGAAGGGTGAGGGGCGCGGGGAGGGGGGGCGGGGCCAGGTGCGCAGCGAGCCGATGCCATTTTGGGGTCTCTGTGGCTGGGATGTCCCCGGGTCATTAAGGGATGCAGCCACCAGGACCAGTATCTCTGGCCATGGCTTCATGGGCTCCTGTCATGTGGCTCCCTCTGTCATGATAGAGGCTCTGGTCTTGTCTTGGGCGTTTCTGTGTCACGATGGGGGGGGGGGTGGTCCCTCCATTGGAAGGACCCTATCCCGTTACAAAGCTTCCTCGTATTGTGGGGTTACTGGGTTTTGTTTGTTTTTTTTTTTTTTAACTGGAAATCCTTGGGATATTGGCGGGAGGGGGGGCTTGCTATTCTGGGGGAGATGTGTGACAATTGTGGGTGTCTTGTGTGCTATGCACATCTCTCTTACCCGTGCTGCCTATATTCTCGGGGGGACAGTACCCTCTCATTTTGGGGCTTTCTATGTCATCATTGGGGTCCTACCTGGATGCCTCTTGTCCATGGGCCTGAGGTAGAAGCAGTTGTGAGAATCAGTCCTCCTGGTATATCGTGGCTACAGCGCAATGACTGCGCTCTTAGCAGTGACCCCTGGGTGGGTGACAGCAGAGAGTGGTTAATAGGGACAGAAGCAGGAGTGTGGCACATCTCTGTCCCTTACACACCCACCCTGTGCCTGGCCCATGTGTTCATTTCTCCCTTCTGTGTGGGTTCCACAGTCTTCCCAGGGAAAAATCTGGGAGGTTGTGGTTAAGGGAAGGAGATCGAGGATTAGGATAGTGAGCAGAACTTGTGTCCAAGGTGGGGAGACGGGTGCCCTGCATCTACTCTGTCCTGACAGCCTGTCTGGCTTCTGTCCTCCAGTGCTCAGCATCGGGGAGGGCGGATTCTGGGAGGGAACCGTGAAGGGCCGCACAGGCTGGTTCCCAGCTGACTGCGTGGAGGAGGTGCAGATGCGACAATATGACACACGGCATGGTGAGTGACCCCAGGCTCCCCCCAGGCAGCTCCTGAGGGGTGCACCCTTCCAGCCTCCCTTTGATCTTCTTGATGATAAATCTGGATGTTCACAGAGAAAAAAGAAGTGAACTCAAACACACCCAAAAAGTACAGGCAAACCTACACACAGGATGCAAACATGGCACACATACAGCATGTATGTACATACGAACATGTGTGCTTGAATCCAACACTTCATACACAGTGGAGAACCTGCGACATGCCCACAGGAGGTACATACTCATGACTGTCCTCTGTGTGTTCTCATACGTTACTCTGGTGACTGTGACCACCCCTCTGGCACAGTCTTCACAGAAATACCAGGTGCTTGGAGCTTGCAATTCATGTGCGCTGGCAGACAAGTAAGGAGGTCAATGTGAAAAAAGAGGCGTTTTTCCAAAGTGGACAGATTGTCCAAGTGGGCAGAGCAGGAGGCCTGGACAAGCCAAGAGGAAATGAGGCCATTTGGGCCCCAAGGGGTGGTTATGGATACCCTGGGGCTGGAATGGTCTGAGGGCAGCTTGTGAGGGATGATCCCTGTCCTTAGCCAGTAGGGAAGCATGTGAAGGTGAAGGCTGCAGCTCTGGGACTGGTGAGCAGTCATAGTCTAACCCTGCTGAACAACTGGGCTTCTAGAAAGGACCCATCTGGGTGCTGGTAGAAACAGGTTAGTCCTGTGGAGCCCATCGGATGGGCTGGCTGCATGTCTTGGATGTACTCTTGCAATGAGCCCTCAAGAGTCCTAGGAGGCTCTAAGATCCATTAGTGTTACTTCTGGCTCAGAGTGGGTATGACAAATGAGTACTTCCTGTGTGGTGGTCATCAGTTGTGTGTCTGGATTTAGGTACATGTGTCTCTCTTTTAGTATGTGGAGGGCTTGGGCTCAGGGTTGTGGTGTCTCCTACCCTGGGTTGACAGTTTCTCAGGAGAGCTCATCCCTATGTGGCCAGGACCTCTGCCCAGTGCCAAACTTGGTGGAGGCTTAGGGAAGTGTGAGCCTGGCTGTTGATCAACTGTTGGCCAGGTGTCTTGTTCCCTCACTTGGCTAATCCTTGCCCTGCCCTGTTGGCTTAGATCATGGAAGGGATTGGGCTCCCTTTTTCTTTGCTTGTGGAGAGTGGTGGATAGAGTGGGGTCCAGGAGGTAAATGATGTCAGAGGTTTGAACTCTAATTCTGACAGGATGGAGGAAGATAATAGGAAGGGATGGAGACTCCATACCTGTTAAATAGGGGCCAGGGCTGTGTTCCCCCACAGGAAGAGTAATGTGATTCTGGTCTGAGAACTATGAATCTAGGGACATTTGGACCTTGGTCTGAAGTAGAGGAGGGAGGGAAGTTTGTGTTGGAGTCAGAATCTGAGAGGAGCTGATGTTGTCAGGTTTGCCCTTGTTGGACCCGTGCTGCTCCCATTGGCTATTGTGGGTGCACCAGTGTGCTGTGGCAGAGGTGGTGTAAGTACAGGAGCTCCCTGAGTTGACCTGAAGGAGTCAGAGTGGGCTTCAAAGTAGAAGTGTTGTTTGGTCTGAATCTTCTAGGTGATCTGAGGTGGATGTCCCCATGTTTGCAGGGATCTGGCACAGTGTTCTGGAGCTATATGTGTCAGCAATTCATGTACCCGATCATAGTTTTTAGCATTTTTACATGTTTGAAGTTGTTGACATGTCCCAGCAATCCTGGGAGGTGAAGCCAGTTGTTAGTACATTTCTAGGGGATCCGTAGGCAGTGAGGGGTAGGGTGTTTTTTCTGTGTAGGCACTCAGCTTTATGAGGAGTGGCAAGGCTAGGGTGGGGAGTGTGAGGCCAGTCAGGTGTCCTTGGGTAGTACAAGGGAAAGGATGGCCTTATGGTGGGAGCTGACCAGGGCAGGGTTGCTTGATTTTGCAGTTCCTTTTTAGGGTCAAGGTCAAGATATAGTCAGGGCAGAACAAAGAGGTGGACAGGGTGGGCCAAGATCATAGAGAAGCAGGTGTGCAAGCAATGGAGCTGGTGGCCTCCTGGCAATTGCAGGGATGCTAGACAAAGCTGCAGCTAGGGTGTGTGACCCAGGGGAGTGGGATGGGGACAGAGGATGAGGGGCCTTCTGTGACTGCCCGTAGGGAGTAGGAGTAATAGTGGCCTTCCTCTGACCTCAGTACAAACCTGGCCAGCCACTCTGGGCAGAACCTCCCATATCTCAGACTCAGGCTGAGTTCTGCCAGAAGCCAGAGGGCAGTCCAGCAACAGGAACCTGATTCCAGTAGGCTCAAATCCAAAAAAAAAAAAAAAAAAATCTGGTTCATGGATTGGAGTGGGGACAGAGAAGAGAAGGACTTAAAGGCCAAGGAGAGGACACTATGCTGAGGTACACAGATAAGGCTGGTGGCCAGGGTTGGTACCTGCCACTGGACCAGAAAATGAATCTTGGCCACTCAAGAAGCAGAGAGCCAGTCTCCTGTAGCACTGGTGCAGGAGATGTGAGGGGTAGAAATGCTGAGGCCCAGTATGTGCTGTCCTCTCTCCTTATCTGCCCCTTCTTTCTAGTGTGTTCCTTATTTTGGCGGTGGGAACTGGTGCTGGGCCTGTTTCTTCAGCAGTATTTTATGTGTCTGATTAATAAGCCTGGAAAATGAATGTGTATTATGTAATAAATACAATTTGGTTGGCAAAAAATTAAAGCTGAGATGTTAGTGATTGCAAGTTTGGGGATCCTTTTGCAGGCTGGCACTATGAGTGTTTCTGTTTACTGGGTTGACCTGGAAGAGGGTGTTGTAGAGGCAAGGAAGAGTGTGAGGTCCCACCTGTAGGGTGATGAGGACTGGCCTGTGCTGGTCTTGTGAGTCGGGGATGGCAAATGTGGGCATGTCACAGGGTCTCAGCTGTGGTAGGCAATGTTGGAGGAGAGAATTGAGTTGATGAGTGGTTGGGGAGGGCCAGGATGATAACAGGCCACCAGAACCCAGGGGCCCTCTCTAAAAGGTCCTACTCTGTAAGGAGAGGCTCAAAGAGGGCACCTACTAGTAGGAATTTGATGTCTGAACCAGTACTTTCCTTAATAACTGTCTTCTGATGTGAACTGAAACTCTTTCTTCCTCCCTTCTAGCCCCTACCTCCATCTCTGTCTGTATCCATCTATCCTTTTACTAGCCTACCCACCCCACTATTGATCTACTTACCCAGCAACCCACCCAGCCCACCCAACCTCTCCCATTTGCCATCCATCCTCCTACTCGCTGTGTACCCACCCAGTCTATCTGTCCATCCATCCATCCACCCACCCATCTATTTACATATCTATCTATACTTTGACCCATCCATTTCCTCTCCTCTCCAACCTCCCATCCGTTTGTACATCCATTTGCCTTTGGATTTGTTTTCTCTCCATCTCTTGTTCCTTTATCCTTCTGTCTGTGCAGTATCTGTCCACCTGGCCAGTTGTATACCATCTCCCCTGTCTGTGGTACCTACCTTCAAGGAGCTTACAATTATTGGGGAGACAGGTTGTAAAAACTCAGGTTTAAGCTAGATGTGGTGGTACATACTGTAATCCCAGTACTGAAGAGGCTGAGACAGGAGGATCATAAGTTTGAGACCAGCCTGGGCTATATCATGAGATCCTGTCTCAAAAACGAAAACCAAAACAAAACAAAAAAACCACCCACCCCCCTGCCACCACACACACTGCAAATTGTAAATTCACTCTGATCTTCTTGCCACTTTCTTGCTCCTTCTGCTGCACTTCATGGGCTGCACACTGCCCTTGGCATACTCGAGGCTGATGACTGCTGTGTGTGTTGGCTGCCCTATTCCTGGAAGACCTTCACCCTTGTACCCATGTGCAGTTCCCTCACATCCCTGGGGCTTCGGTTATCTTCGCTTGTTGATGAGACTATTATACTATCCTTAGAGCTTCACTTTTCTATATCCTTGTTCTACCTTTTTTTCTCTTAAGCACTTACCAGCACTTACTTATTTTCTGTTTATTCCATCTCCCAGAGTAGCTTATTAACACAAGGGCGGACTCTGTTCTATCCTCAGAGCCTAAAACATATAGTGTCTAGTACATAGTAGGAGCTCAAAAATGCTTGTTGAAGTGAAAAAATGAGTCTTGAGAAGTGGTACAGTAAGAGAATGGGGGAGGGAGGCCTTGAGAGATGAAGTGCAAATCAGTGGTGGCGCCACCTTGGGGGCCCTCCCAGGCTCTGAGAGTGGAGGAACCCTCCATTCTCCAGAGGTGTGAGGAATCCTGAAGTTCAGGTAGCCAGAGGAGCCAGCCTGAAGCCTAAGGTCACAACTGCGGGTGTGGTAGGACATCTGCAAGGCTCAGATGGGGCAGCAGGTAGACCCTGGCCAACTCCACAGGGCCATGAGGAACTTTGAGATCAAATGACAGATGAAGACAATGTTCTGTGGGCCACAGTGAAGTCAGAGAAAGGGACCCAGATCTTGGCTTCCCTTCCTCACTGAGACACTGAGGTTGTACCTTGTGCCATTGTAAGGAATTGAGTGAAGACATTCACTTCCACAATGGTGTACGTGGGCAAATAGCACAGAACTCAGGCATGTGCTTGCACATGGTACTTGCACACAGTTGTGGATCACAGATATACATGCACATTACCTGTGACTAGGCTCACACACAGATCACAAGTATGAACACAGCACTTGTACACACTGCATAAATAAGCATCAACACAGCATTTAGACACTATTGTAAGGCACACACACACATATGTACGTACACTTTCCTATACTCTCACTTTTGTGGCTCACTGACTGTATGGTCCTGGTCTTGTTTGGTCTCCCGTGTCTAGCTGCATGGTTCTCAGGAGAAGTGAGCTGTGGTTGCTGTTCTTCTTGGGCCCCAACTCCAGGAGGCCAGAATTCTCTGCATGGTCCCCTTAGACTTCCTACCTTAGGACCTCTGGACCCAGGACCTCAGGATTCAGGGTCTTCCACTCCTATCTTGGCACAACCATGCCCATGTATGGACAGAGACTGTGACCACAGTTAGGGTAGATGAGCCAGTTGGAGGCCATGGCCTTTCCTCAGCTCCTGATACTCCCTCCAGAAACCCGGGAGGACCGAACGAAGCGGCTTTTCCGCCACTACACTGTTGGCTCCTATGACAGCCTCACTTCACACAGGTACTGACAGGTGGGGCATGGGTGTGGATATACACTGGCTGGATGTGGCAGATGTGGTGTGGGTTAAGAAGGGAAGCCAGGGTTTGGGGAGGTTGATAGAGAACAGCCACCAGCTGCCTTCTACTGTCACCCTGGGGTAGCCTGTGCCTCTGGGACCCTGTGGGGTCAACCTGTCTGCCAGACCTCCTGCAGGGCTCACCTCACCCCTTCCTGCTTTCCTCCATCAGCGATTATGTCATTGATGACAAGGTGGCTGTCCTGCAGAAACGGGACCACGAGGGCTTTGGCTTTGTGCTCCGGGGGGCCAAAGGTAATGGGTTGTGAGGGATACTGCACTGCTGGGGATGTGTTCTGTGTCTGGCCTCTGCCCCTCCCTTTTTCCTGCCCTCTCCTATCCTCTGCTGTGACTGTTTTGGTTTGGAAAGTGCAGGTACAAGGCAGCAGTTCCCTCCCTTTATTGACTTTCATTCTCTTTGCTTGGGGAGCCTAACAGAGTAGGGGCCTTTAGTAGAAGTGAGTAAGGGGCTTCACAGAGGAATGTGCACTGCTTTCCTGGGCTAGGTGTCCCTGGGTAGCTGTCCTCCCTGCCTTGGGTTAATCTGTCCCTTGTTAGTCATGTACTCCTCAAGGCAAGCCACATGGAGGTTGTTGTGTGGCAGCTTCCACCACCTGAATCACATTTATGAGTACCTACCTGCTCCCCCCCATCTGCAGCAGAGACCCCCATTGAGGAATTCACGCCCACACCAGCCTTCCCTGCACTCCAGTACCTGGAGTCTGTGGATGTGGAGGGTGTGGCCTGGAGGGCTGGGCTGCGCACTGGAGACTTCCTTATTGAGGTGAGGCAGGCCCTGACCTGGGGTTAGGGTGGGTTGGGGGGGTGCTGCTTCCTGAGCCCCGAGGGAGTGTACATGAGCATCCCACCCAGTTGACTGTCTGTCTCAGGTGAATGGGGTGAACGTGGTGAAGGTTGGACACAAGCAAGTGGTGGGTCTGATCCGCCAGGGCGGCAACCGCCTGGTAATGAAGGTCGTGTCTGTGACCAGGAAGCCAGAAGAGGACAGTGCTCGGCGCAGAGGTGAGGGCTCAGGCTTCTGGCTCTGTCCAGATTCTTCTCTTGCCTCCTGATCTTAGCCCTTTGACTTCAGGTCAACATTCTTCTCTCACCCTTAATGCCACACTTCTGGCATCAGATTCCTGAACTTAGAGGAAATGCTGACATCTGTGGCCTGGTTCCTTGTGTTAGACCCAGTGGCCCCTGGCTAGGCCTCTGACCCCTGACCCTAGATTGCCCTCCTCCAATTCCCGCCCCCTTCTTCCATGCGTCCCCCAGCCCTGGCATGGCATAGCCCTCCTTCCCAACTCCAGCAGCTGCCTGGAGGCCGGGTTGCCATGGTAACTGTGAGGTTGACGCTGCTGCTGCTGCTGCTTATTGTGTGGGGAAGGGGGAGGCGGCACCTGAGGGAAGAGGAAAAGCGTCTTCTCCTAGCAGCCGCCACCGACCGCTGTTCGGCCTGGGCCCAGGAGGCTTTGCTGCCTAGCCCAGCCCAGGCCTTTGGTTTGCCTGACCACATCCTGGTCCTTTAAGGGACAGTGGTACCTGGGCCCTGGAAGCTCTGGGCAGCAGGAAGCAACCTGGCAGGAGACCTGCCCAGCCCCCCATGGCTCCGGTGCCCCCTTGCTGGACCCACACAGCCTGTAGGGTGGGTGCTCAGACCAGAGCCAGCCAGCACTCTGACCCCTACTAGTACCCTTGACTACCATCTGAGGCCTTGGCTCTGGGAGTCCAGAGGGCCCCAGAGGCCCAATCACCCTGGCCCCAGTGCTCCCTGAGCTTGCCACGCCATGAAGAAGTTTGCATCTAGCCGCAGCCTGAACAAGATCCTGGCACAGTGTGACTCGTCCTCACGGGAGTACGAGGAGATCCAGGCGGTAGAGCGCAAGTGGCACTTGCACCTGGCCACGCCGCGCCGCCTGCTGCTGGATAGGAGGGCCAAGGCCTCCCTCTTCTTTGCAGCCCCACCGCCCCCGAAGAGGGCCCCCAGTACCACACTGACCCTGCGTTCCAAGTCCATGACGGCGGAGCTTGAAGAACTTGGTGAGCACTGGGGTTGCTGTGGGAGTGGCCCACAATTGAATGGCCGGGGTTGAGCAGACTAAGGCAGTGTGGGAAGCCAGGGGGACTAAGCTAGGGCTGAGGCCAGGCAGTGATAGCAGGGAGGGAGGATGGACGGATGTAGGAGTAAGTCAAAAGTTAGGGTAGGTGCTGGAGTGGCAAGGAAATTCGGCACCTGTAGGTCAGGAGGAGGGGAATGGCATCTCTATATGTGTGCATGGTATGTGTGTGAACTGCCCTTGGCTCTTTATTCTTGACTTTGCTCTTGCATTTCATCTGTTTTTTGGGAAGAGCAATGGTTGGACATCTGGGGTCTGTTTCCAGCTCCGTCGGACAATAGCTGGGTCATCCTTGTGTTTGTTTTACTCTGTTGGTGCTTGTTTATTGCTCAAGCAAGCCTGCTGACCTCACAGGCCATTGTGAGAAACTATAGTTCAGTGATAGGATGGGGTCTTGTGAGCTGTGGGAGGTTAGCAAAATATGTCAGACTTTGATGGGCACAATCCTAGGCTGACCACTAATATCATGGGTATGTCCCGACATACATGACCTCGATCTGATATCTGTGACAGTTAAGAGCCTTATCATAGGATGTCTTGATATACATGATCATGTCCTGACATGTGTGGTTGTTACAACCTTGTCATGGGCATGTCCTATATATACAACCACATCCTGACATGTGTGGCAGCTGACAACCTCATCATGGGCATGCCACGATATACACGACCACATCCTGACGTATGACATTCAACAGCCTGAAGAGTCATGATATAATGATCATGTCCTGACATGTGTGACCATTAATAACCTTGTCATGAGTGTGTCTTCTATACATGACCATGTCTGACATGTGTGACAGTTAGCAGCCCTGTCATGGGCATATGCTGACTGTTATTCTTATTGTGGGCATATGCTAATACACGTGACTATTAAGAACCTTGTTGTGGGGGTATCCTGACCATCACAGCTTCATGATGGGCATATCCCAGTACATATGACAGTTGACACACTCTTCACTTGCATAGTTTGAGCCCAATCCCAGCCTTTTTCTCTGGCTACAGCCATAGAAGGAGCGTGTACCTAGTCCACAGAACTATCCCTGCCTTTAGTCAACCCTGATCCTGTCCTGGTCACCGGATGAGTTGCCCCATTCCAAGAAGGAAAACGGCTACTAAGACAGACTGGGCTGACATGGTCAGGAAACTTAAAAAAAAAAGTACACAGACTTCAAAATGAAGAATACTCAGGTTTCAAAAAATGAAGAGGGAAATCAATGCCAGAGGAGAGCCCATGATCAAGTTTCCAAGGGCAGGGTCAGGTTCTGAAGCCTCCTCAAGGCTAGGTTAGGAGGCTGTGGGCCTGTGAGAAGCAGGAAAGCCAGAATCAAGCACAGGATCTGGAATTAGCATTAAAAGAATTGGAAGTCAGAGAAGAATATGAGACAGTAAGATAAAATGTTATTACAAATGTAAAAGAACTAGCAGAGCTAATGAAATAACAGGACAGGACAACAAAGAACAAGCACATTTATAAAGTGTGGTACTGGGGTTTGAACTCAGGGCTTCATGCTTGTTAGGCAGGTGCTCTACCGCTTGAGCCATTCCACCAGTGCTAAGAACTGTTACTGATTAAAAGGATCCATGGCTTGGATACACAGTATTCCAGACCCAGCTGAAAATGAGGCAGTAAGTAAGATCAGACTAAGATTACCCAGAAGCAGCTCAGAAAGACTAGGTGCAGACATCAAAGAGTAGTTAGGGGACAGAAGGACAAGAAAGGAGACCCCAGCGTCTACCTGGTAGAAGTTCCAGAGAGAAAGAATGAAAAGAAAGGCAACGTTTGAAGAGTAAGTAAGAATTTCTCAAAAGTGAACAAAGGCATGAGATTCCATTTTGAAGAAATAGGAGTCACAAGCAAGGAAATAAAAACTCATGTATATCTGGATCTGTCAGAATAAAAGTTTAGAATACCATAGACATATAGAAAAATCTTATGACTACGGTTGCAGGTGGAGGAGCTGGTTAGCTTAGAAAGGAGTGATAGTTTGACTGACAGCAGACTTCTCATCAGCAGTGGTAGAAGGCAGAAGACGATGGAATGTGGAATCACGATGCCTTCCCACCTAGATTCTGCACCCAGCCATATCTGCTCACTTGTGTGAGTACAGAGTTCTGGTCCCAGGGCTATCAGACCCGCAGGTCAGTCACAGAGAGCTGGTATCAATAAGCCAATACCAGTAGGCAGATGGGTCTGGTTAGACACCAGATAAAACTGGTGGGTGGTCCCTGGAGAAACCTGAGCTCTGCAATCCAGGACTCTGCCCTATGAGAGTGGAAGAGCTGTCTTTAGCCTGGGCCTTTCTATCTGTAGAAACAGGAGTGGAAGAGGCAGATCTTCCTCTCTGCTTCACAAGCTTTGGAAGAGGATTACTGTAGTTGCTCTGCAGACCCTGGTGGTCCAGAAGAGTGTTCATCAGCTGATCCTGAGTAGACTCGAGGAGGACAAGGGGACAGCTCCATATGGTGTAGCCTCTACCTACACTTCTGGGCCCAGGATCACAGCTGTTGAAGCTGATACGAGGCTCTAAATGGGGCTGTGTTCAGAGAAGGGCTAGGCACCCAGCAGTTCAGAAAGTTGTGCTGCCTCAGAAGACAGTTGTCCTGGAAGGCCAGGACACTGCCCACTTCCTGACATGTTCTCTCTGGGAAGGCCTGGTTTGAGGAAGCCAGGCCAACATTGGGTTCCCCAGGTGCCTAAGGGACTATCCCACAATCCAGCATTTGTGCTTTCAAAATGTAGACATAAGATGTGTTGAGTCACCACTGGCAGGAACATTTTCATTCTGTCAGTCACAGTCAGGAGCTGATGGAGCCCTTTTGGATCCATAGTCTATTGAGAAGATGACCTTAATACCTGGAAAGAAAAGAAAAGAAAGTTTGAGGTAATGGGGAAACAGGCTTCAGGGGTGAAGGCTCACATCCAGGTGGCCTGTGCTCAGTGGTAGTTAAGGCAAATCCCAGTAGGAGGAAGAGGAGGAATGGACTCCTGTGGGTCAATGGGGTGAGCAAAGGCTGATCCCAGAAAATGAAGGTTGTGGTGGTTGGAAGTAAGGAATGAGAGGAAGGGGTCAGAGTAAGGACCCTCCAGAGAGGGGGTGGAGGGAGGACCCTCCCTGGTCTGTTCTTTGTGGGAGCTCTTCACCTCATCATGTGCACGTCCACTGAGCTTGAACCAGGGACATGCTAGGGCTAGAGGACAGTGAAAACCTAGGCCAGGGGGCCTGGTGGGTCCAAGCCCCTCTTGTTCATCTACTTCCTCAGGGGGAAATTGGAGCTTCTCTGTAATTTCTGGTTTCCTTTTTCTTTTGTGATGAGAAGTCATGGTAGGTGCCGTACCATGTCCCTGCCTCTGACCTCAATCTGGAAAAAGGGTTCTCTCAAGCAAGTGTCTTGCCTGCCATTAAAAACCTGTTTTGGGTGTTGGGGTATTCAGTGGTGGAGCACTTGCCTAGCACGCTCAAGGCCCTAGGTTCCATCCCCCGCACTACAAAAACAAAACAAAAACCCCACCAAAACCCCTGCTTGTGCACTCTACTCAAGTGTGACTGTCTTGGTTTTCAGTGGCCAAGTGTTTAGTTATGCATGTCTCCGTGTGTGCATTTGTGTGCATGTACATGTATGTACATTGTGTGTGTGTGTGTGTGTGTGTGTGTGTGTGTGCGCGTGCACATACACACAAGTGTATTTACTGCTTGTGCTTGTTCCCTCCTCAAGTTTCAAGGCATTGGCAGTTTGCACTTCTGGTGTAGGCAGGGGCAGATCTGTGAAGACTGGGTGTTGGGGAGGTGGGGGTGGAAGGAATGGGGGTGGGGAAACCAGTGTGGAGAACAGGCCCAGGTGCCATGGAATGAAGCCTGCCTCTTACCCCCTTTGCTCTGTTTCTTAATTTCAAGCCTCCATTCGGAGAAGAAAAGGGGGTAAGTCATCTACTGTGTCCCTAGGCCCGGATTGCCTGCTCTATCAAGGGGTGCTGGTGTGTGAGGAGGCTCCAGTTCAACTCAGGGTGGTCTGGAATCCTGACACACCCTTATGTTGGCCCTTTTCCTTGGGAATCTGGTAGCAGTATGGTGAAGGGCCTGGGAAGAACAGATGGGGAGTGTTCAGGGATGTGACCATCGGGGAACCACAAGGAGGCACAGTCTCTTTGGGGACTCAGGTGAGCTGGAGAATATGGAGATAGCCTAGGGTGGGGGAGGAGTTGGGAGAGCTTAGCAGTGGCCACTGTATGTGCTATAACCTAGAGTTGGTGAGGGGAAGGGTTCCAAAGACCCTGCCACGGACCATGGGGGAGCCAGATGGCTGGGCTATGTTGGGACTGTTAGGTGTTTTCAGTGCTCCTGTGCTGTTTCTCTGCCTGTTTCTGGGGCTGCCTCTGCCTGGGTTGTGGACTCCAATCCCATGCTAGCTGGTGGCAGGGCAGAGCCTAGAGTAGACAGTCACTTCAGAGCAGGGGTCAGAGTCCCACAGCACTGGTAAGGGATCTTAGAGCTCCCCTACCCAGTATGACCTTCAGGATGTTGACTTCACCACCTCCTCCTCAGGGGCCCCCCTACACTCCTTCCCCGCACCATGCGTGTCCTCTGAGGCTCTTCCAATATGTCTTATGTATCCAGCTTGGCTGACTTGGCTGTGGGGGATGTAGTGTTTGGGTTTGGATAGCCTCCAGTGTAGCTGGGATTACAGGCATGTACCACTATGCCTGGCTTATTGATTAAGATGGGAGTCTAACCAACTTTTTGCCTGGGCTGACCACAGACCTTCCCAATCTCTGCCTCCTGAGTAGCTGGGATTACAGCCACTGCACCTGGCCCTGTTTTTTTTTTTTTTTTTTTTTGTGGTATCAGGGGCCTTGTGCTTGCTAGGCAGGTGTTCTGCCACTTGAACCACTCTGCCAGCCTCTAGTTTCTTTTCAAAAGTAATTCTCAACCCCAGCTTCATGATCCCTATCAGTGTGCACATTGCTTTGGGTCTTTGGGAGAAGGTTCTAGCATGCTATGCTAGGAGACATGCCACCACTATCCCACGGAGTTTTCTTTCCACTTACTTTACTTCTGCTGTTTCTGGAAAATGTGGCAGTGAAGTCTCTTCTTTTACTGGGTCTGTGATGTGGGCCAGTTTATCTCTCTCTCTGCTTTAGTTTGCTCTTGGGCAAAAAAAAAGTTATATGGGATCTTCTTTATGTGACTGCTGTGGGATTTGTGTAAAGTCCAGCATATTGTATAGTCACCAAAAGGAAATTATTCACTTCATACAAACAAATGAGAAAACCCTTCAGACCAGCAGTCCCTGGTCTGCTCTGTCACCTGGTGATGTTAGAAGCCACGCTCAGGCCCTGAAAGTTGTTCCATAATGGGAACATGTTTTGCTGGTGAACTGCTGTGTTGTTCAGGGCAATAGTCTGGGCTCTGATGGAACAGAGTGTTTGTTCTCCTGAGAACTCACAATTTGTTTGGGGAGGCAGGGTGCAAATGTCTTGAGTCTGTGCTTATCTTCTGCATTGGGTCAGCATGATTGTGGTTCCGCTGTGCTAATTCTCCCTAGAGCCACAAGGTGCAGGTACTGTTTATGCCTGGTTTCACAAAGGGTTCACATCTAGTCTAGTCTTGGTTGGGTACAGGACATATCAAGAATTAATTTACATCCCCACAGCAATTACCAAACAATTGCAGGTAGAATCAGCAGGTGCTGGTGAGCAGTTGCAGGTTGGGACTGGAAAGAATAGTAAGTGTTAAGGCTGACCACATTTGTCCAGCAGGGGCACTTTGAAAGTGGAAGGGTGCCAGGATAAGTATCCACTGAGCCTAGGCATAGCCTGCAAGAGTTGAGCAGGGCCTGGGAACAAGTGGAGCCTGAAGGACAGGTGGGGTTTGGCGAGGCCCTGAATGAAAGAGGGCTGGTGTAGCAACCAGATGGACACAGGTGCTATCCCTAACCCCTTCCTGTATGCCAAGTGCTCTGACCCTAAGAGAACTTGGTGTGGACCCACCAGGGCAAGAGTGCTTCCAGGGAAAGCACACCAGGGAAGTCAGCTAATCATAGCTCTTGACAGCCCTTAGACACATGTTAAACATCTCCAAATACTTTTGATAAGCAAAAGTACCACTTTTTAAACAGTAACTTCACTTTAATAAAAACAGGGAAAGTTTTCATCTATAATGGACTTGAAGAGAATGTACCTGAGTCCTACTCGTGCCTTTCCTCTTCTTACTAGGCCTTGTTCAGGCATCAGCCCTTGTGTGAGTCTCCTAACCCTAACTCTTCTCTGCTCCCACTGGTTTTCCAGGGGCTAAGAGAGCCCGTCAGTGAGGAGGGTCTCTTTTTAGCATTATCTCCCATTCCTCTTTTCCCAGCACCTCCCACTCCAACTAGAGCTGCCTTTCCTCAGGGCAAGGGAGGAAGGTTCTATGGCTTTGTGCTCTGTATTGATCTCCAACTCCAGCTTTGTTCTCAGGAAGTATCCCCCACCTATTGGTTCATTTGTTGATTATCGGCTTATTCACTCATTCAGACATCTCTTGTGAACACCTACTTGAACAACAGGGTCTGTCCCAGGGCATTGATTCCACTAGGAACAGCTTGCCTTGGAGAGTGATGGCAGACAGGCGAGGTGCTAAGAATAGGTCTAGAATACAGGGGAAGGGAAGCAAAAGAGAGATAGCTCTAAACGGTCTGTTCTCTATCATTGTCTCCTCCCTACTCCTTGAGTGGGGTCCACAGGGACCCTGGGGTCTTTTCAAGGACAGAGACTGGCTGGGGCAGAGTCTAGGTCTTGGGGTGTGAGCAGCTGTGATGGGATGCAAGATCTAGGACGTCATCTTGGTGTTCAGGTTGTGAGCCTTAGGCAGTCAGGTTGAGGAGCCTGAGGTTGAGTGTGTCCCAGTAGCCCCTATTAGTATCATGGGGTGGATGGGCCTTGGAGAGTGAGTAGTGAGGCAGGCCAAGAGGCTGAGGTGTCATCTCCTTGACTGTGCAGAAAAACTGGATGAAATTCTGGCAGCTGCTGCAGAGCCAACACTGAGGCCAGACATTGCAGACGCTGACTCCAGGGCAGCCACTGTTAAGCAGCGGCCCACCAGCCGGAGGATCACCCCTGCTGAGATCAGTGTAAGCCATCCTTGGTCTGGGGCTCCCAAAGGTTGGGTGTGGGTCTGAGGATCAGAGGGTCATGCATCTCTTTTCTGAGGTGAGAGTCCAATCATTTGGGTCCCTTCTTCAGAGGGAGTGGAGGCCCCCCCCCCCCAATAGCCTCTCTTGGAGATACTTGGGACTATCTCAGCTCCGAGAATGACCACCTGAACCTGCAGGTTCTCACTCCTGTAGCTGCAGCTTGCATTACCTTTTGACCTCAGGCAGTTTCTGTGTCATCCTGGAACCACCTGGATCCCTAGCCTTGCTGAGGCCACAACACAGTGTGTCACTCTCCTGCCTATTCCTGGCACCTTCTGGACTCCTTCCCCTCCTTCACTAAGCTGTGCCTAGGGTCTGCACTTACCTTCTACACTATGTCACCCTCCACACTGCTCACAAAACCCAAGTTCCAACTGCATCCTCTGTTATTTGAACACAAGGCCCAGATCCAATTCCACTGTTGTTGGAGGGAGTGCATGGGGTGTCTGATCTCCAGCTTTGGAGGAGGATGGGTGGGGCTGGATGGAGAACCGGGGGCCCCAGTGCCCTAGAACCTCCATGTTCCCCCCTCCCCAACCCTCACAGTCATTGTTTGAGCGCCAGGGCCTCCCGGGCCCAGAGAAGCTGCCTGGTTCTCTGCGGAAGGGGATTCCACGCACCAAGTCTGTAGGTACGGCTGGGCTGAGGGGCTGCGTGGGGCTGGGAGGGCTGGGCTGGATCGGGTGGATTCAGGGTTGGAGGACCTCACCTCTCCCTTCCCAGCTTAGGGATCTCATTTCTTTGTGGACATAGTTAGTCCTTCCCCTGCCCCAGAGATGTGCTGCTGGAAGAGAGACCCTTGAGATTTTTTTCCCTAGCCCACCTCTCCTTGTTCACTGGGTGCCCCAAGTTCACCTCTCCCCATCCAAGGGCACCCCCCCAACACTTCTGCCTCCCATAGGCACCAGCATCCCTGTCTGCAGGTTAGCTGTCTCCTATCCTGGCTGTTGCCCTGCAGCCTGAGTGCAGGTCCAATTTCCGATTCTAAAATTACCCTCTCCTTGAACCTGCCCCACGCCAGATATTGTGCTTTATCCTCCCCATCACAGCTACTTTCCCTGAAAAGGTCACCTACACTTGCTCTCTGGCTCCTGTCTCCACCTGCTTCTAACCCTATGAAGATGAACTTTCTCCACAGGGTCAATAGTGGTCTCCAGGGCATCCTCCTAATAGACACCACTACCCCTCTTCCTGACCTGAGTTGGGCACTGGTTTCTTTGCTCCCTCCTCCATGAAACTCCTCCCAGCAATCTGGGCAGTGCTTCCTGTTCTCCCCTCCTTTTCTGACTACCCCCCCTCCCCCACCCCATTCAGCCCCTAACCCTAGCAAATGTGGGATTAGCTCAAGGCCAAGTCCTCAGGGTCCTTTCCTTGTGCATCTCATCACCTCAGGGCCTCATCATCCTCCAGCCACCATCCTACCCTAACCTTGGCCGTCTTCTTTCCTAACCCCAGGCCTTGCCTACTGTGCATCTCTGCAGGCATCCAGTCTCCCTCACCTGCTGACCTGTGCATTTGTCCACCTGCAGAGCTGCCCGCTTGTTGGTTCACCTATCCATATTCACCCCACCACACCCACCATCTGTTCCACATCAGAGTAAGCCCCTGCTCTTATTACAGGTCAGACACTGAGCCTTTATACACATTGATCCATTTAATACTTACAGTAACTATATGGAGGGAACTCTATTTTGTTGAGGCAAGGAAAGTTAAAATGACTTGTCTAGGGCCACACAGCTACCTTGCCTGCACCTCCTATCCAACCTCAAGCCAACCAGCTGCTCAAACTCTGATCCCTCAACCCATCCCAGGACCTCTGCTTGCTCTAGACTGATTCTGGGCCAGGTCTGGGGCTCAGCTGGGGAAAGTAATATGTCTTCAGTTACATGGTGGGTGTCAAAGCACACATAAATGGGGACTGACTGAGGAGCTTCAACCACACACTTGGGCATCACAGAAGGCTGGTTGTGGGTATTTGAGCTTAGAATGCAGGGTAAGTGGGAGTTTCTGGGGAACAATGGGGTAAATTGTTGACAGATGCCAGTGTATAAAAGACACAGGTGTATGGCAAGGTCCTTTATGGGCTGACAAGATTTTTTTTTTTTTTTTGTACTGGGGTTTAAACTCAGTGCCTTGTCTTTGCTGGGCAGACACTCTACCACTTGAACCATGCCGTAGCCCCTTTTTTTGCTGTAGTTATTTTTTGAATAGGGTCTCCCATTTTTTTGCCCAGGCTGGCCTAGATCATGATCCTTCCATTTATGCCTCCCAAGTAGCTGGGATGGCAGTTACTTGCCACTCTCCCCAGGTTTTTGTTTTGAGACAGGTTCTTACTAACTTTTAGCCCAGGCTAGCCTTGAACTGCATCTTTCCTCTCTGCCTCCCAAGTACAGTGGCGTTACAGGCATGAGCCACTGTGCCCACCCAACAAAGATCATTTCTATAGGTAGGAGAGTGGGGAAGGCAGCTGGTAAAACTGCAGCTACTTTGGACCCAAAAGGTGCTCCTTATTGCTTTCCCTGGCCCAAGCCTTGGGCATTGTCTATGGTATGGGTTCTTCTTTAGCCTCTGCCTCATCTGGCTGCCTCCTCACATGTCTCATAGCTCTGCCCAGCACAGGCCTCACTGTCTTACATCTAGTCCATAGCTTTGTCCTTCCCATGATCTCCTGTCCTGGATTTGCTCTCTACCTCATCCCTCTGGCAAAGGAGGCTTTCTGCAGCACAAGTTATCACCTCCCATCTCTCCAGCTAACCCTCTATGGGCTCCTCATTGTTTCAGGGTCCTTGGGACCAACACCAGCCCTCTCCTGCTTCATCTGGGGACATTTATCACTGCCTTTCTCTGACTTGGGTCTTCCCACACTCCCTGTTCCCCACTTCTCCTCACTCTGGCTACATGGCTTATCTGTCAGACCTGCCCAGACCCAGAACTAATCATTGCAGGTCCCAGACCTATGTATTTGCTCTGTAGGCCTTGAGCCTCTTGGTAGGCCTGCTGGCTCCTCCCACTGGTTCTTCCTGTGCTGAGCTGATGAGTGGGCCACTAGGTGCTCATATTAAGTCCTCCTGGGTCTAGAATGCCACCAATTGCCAGCATAAGCGTTGCCTGAGTTTTTAAGCTCCTAGGGCTCTCATCCCATGTCCTGGCTATGTGTCCCTGGGAACATAATGCAACTCTGGGGATCTCTGATACAGAAACATGGAGACTGCCTAATACCTATCTCCAAGGACTGATCAGGCTCCCCCTTAGGCACACAGTGACTGTGCAGCAGCTATGACAGTCAGTGGAACCTGCATTTTTTTTTTTTTGTACTGGTGTTTGAACTCAGGGCTTCACACTTGCTTAGGCAGGTGCTCTACTGCTTGAGCCATGCCTCCAGCACATTTTGCTCTGGTTATTTTGGAGATACAAAGTCTCACTTTTTGCTCAGGCTGACCTAGCACCATGATCCTCCCAATTTCAGCCTCCCACATAACCTGGAGATGACAGACATATGCCACTGTGTTCAGCTGTTGGTTGAGATGGGGTCTTGTGAACTTCTTGCCTGGTCTGGCCTTGAGCTGCAGCCCTCCTGATCTCAGCCTCCCATGTAGCTGGGATTATAGGAATGAGCCATCAGCACCTGGTTTAGACCCTATGTTTTAAGCACACATTGAGTGCTCAGGAAAGACTTGCTGGTGTCTGAGCAGAGAGGATCTTTTTTTGCCCTGACAGTGTCAGCACAGCCTCCATTCTGGGCTGAGGCATGTGACGTTTCCTTACCCTTAGGCAGAACTTGAAATGCCATTAGCATTAAATTTTCCCTTTTTCATCTTCACACGTCACTCCCACTTTGTACCTCCTCAAGGTGTGTGAGTTCTTCCTGGGTAGCTCCATCTAATGCACAGGCTTGTGGGTGTTCACTGTATGTTCATGTGCTGTATAGGAATGCTGCCAAAAAGGTCCTGGATCAGTTGTGCACAGATCTGACCAGTGGTGGGAGGGAAGGCAGACCTAGATGTAATGATGACCTCAGCCACCTTCCTGGGTGGTGCTGCTGTGGCCCTGCACTGTACTTTAAGTGGCCCTGTGACAGAGGTAGGCATCCTGAGATGAGACGGTTTGCTGGAGGTGAGCTGGTAGACCTGAAATTCAAGCCTAAGTCTGCAACAACAGCCTGTCCTTGGTATGCATGATGCAAACATATTGTGAGGCCTCACCAGTGCTGTGGTGGCTGAGGGATGATGTCAGACTGAATTGTGGCAAGTTCTTGAAAATGTTCTCAAGCCCAGAATGAGGCCAGGTGTAGAGTACTGCCAAAGACTTGGTGTGTCACCATAAAGCCAGTCTTCTACTCCTTAGGTTGGGCCATCTAGCACTTGCAGCCTCACTGTACTTGCCTCAGCACAGGTGTCCACATTATGTCCAAAAGGACAGGATGTTCTAGCTGGATACTGGAGCCTAATGACATGTGCATATGGGAGTAGGGGGTTCATTTTAAGCCTGTGTAGCTCATGAGAGAATAGGCTCAGAGGGGCTCATGGTCTGGTTTGGGATCACGCAGTCAGTAGGTGTGAAACTGCAACATATCCTGGGTACTTGACCAACAATTCCACTTTAATTTATCCATTTATCCTTTCACCCACCCACCCAGCCTCATTGAATTCCAGCCACTGGCTATGCCAACAGCTTCCTGGTAGCCTCTACCAGGATGGCCCCTTGAGGGTCACCCCTGTAGCCTGCAGGGCTTCCCTCCCCCACCTCCCCCCAGCCATCTGCAGGTAGTGTTTCACTCATGCTCCTGGGTCCTTCCTTTTTGGCCATCTCCCTTCCTCCCACCTCTGGTTGTCACCTGAGCTTCCCATTGACCCATGCTTATTCCACAACAGATTATTTCTGAGCTGGCCTTGCTCAGGAAGCCCTTTATCACACCCTTAGGGTTAGTCTCGACAGTTTTGTTAGTTCTTTTAGGTGGGCTGCCACTACTCTCCTAGAGTTTCTTCTCATGTCCTGCTCCATGTCTGTGGTTTTTGAGGAGATCTTGGCTCCAACCTGGTGGAGTTTAGGTCCTGTCCCAGAGCATCCATTAGTGGAACCCTCCTTCATCCCTTAGCTGGACATAGGAGTCCTTCCTGTACTCTTCACAAGATTCCCATCCTACCTGCACAAGGCCTGTGGTGCAGAGCTTGGGTGCCCTGGGATGAGCCCAGACTGGCTTCTTAGTCAGACCTCCTGCTTTGAGTACCCTTCACTTCCCTGCCGGCTATCCCTGGTCCCCACCTTCCAAGAGACCCCATCTGAGGCTACTTTGGGGCAGAGGTGGGGCAAGGCCGTCCTCTGTGGGAGGAGGTGCTGGGGTCCAGAAAGAGTGCTCTGAAGGCCCAGGGCCCAGGTCAGTCTCACCAGGCCCCTCCGTCTGCAGGAGAGGATGAGAAGCTGGCGTCCCTGCTGGAAGGGCGCTTCCCACGGAGCACATCAATGCAGGACTCCGTGCGTGAGGGTCGTGGCATCCCGCCTCCACCACAGACCGCACCACCCCCTCCGCCTGCGCCCTACTACTTTGATTCAGGGCCGCCCCCCGCCTTCTCACCACCCCCGCCACCGGGTCGAGGCTACGACACGGTGCGCTCCAGCTTCAAGCCTGGCTTGGAAGCGCGCCTGGGCGCGGGGGCTGCTGGCCTGTACGAGACCGGTGCGCCCCTTGGCCCTCTGCCCTACCCTGAACGGCAGAAGCGCGCACGCTCCATGATCATCCTGCAGGACTCCGCGCCTGAGGTGGGCGACGTCCCTCGGCCCGGGCCCTCGGCCACACCACCTGAGCGCCCCAAGCGCCGGCCACGGCCTCCAGGCCCAGACAGCCCCTACGCCAATCTGGGAGCTTTCAGTGCCAGCCTCTTCGCACCATCCAAGCCGCAGCGCCGTAAGAGCCCACTCGTGAAACAGCTGCAGGTGGAGGACGCGCAGGAACGCGCGGCTCTGGCTGTCGGCAGCCCTGGTCCAGGCGGCGGCAGCTTCGCCCGAGAGCCTTCCCCGACACACCGTGGGCCCCGGCAGAGTGGCCTCGAGTACAGCACGGGGGATGGCCTGGGGCTTGCATTCAGCGGTCCTAGCCCGGGTAAGGAGAGGCGGCTGGAGGAGCGGCGCCGCTCCACTGTGTTCCTGTCCGTGGGCGCCATTGAGGGCAGCCCTCCCAGTGCGGACCTGCCGTCCCTACAGCCCTCCCGCTCTATAGATGAACGTCTCCTGGGAGCTGGTGCCACCGCTGGCCGTGACCTACTGCTCCCCTCCCCTGTTTCTGCTCTGAAGCCATTGGTCAGCGGCCCTACCCTTGGGCCCTCGGGCTCCACCTTTATCCACCCACTCACCGGCAAACCCTTGGACCCTAGCTCACCCTTGGCTCTTGCACTAGCTGCCCGAGAGCGGGCTCTGGCTTCCCAAGCACCTTCCCGGTCCCCCACACCCGTGCACAGCCCTGATGCTGACCGCCCTGGACCCCTGTTTGTGGACGTGCAGGCCCGGGATTCAGAACGAGGGGCCCTGGCCTCCCCAGCCTTCTCTCCACGTAGCCCAGCCTGGATTCCTGTGCCTGCTCGCAGGGAGGCAGAGAAGGCTCCCCGGGAAGAGCGGAAGTCACCAGAAGACAAGAAGTCAATGATTCTCAGCGTCTTGGACACGTCCTTGCAGCGGCCAGCTGGCCTCATTGTTGTGCATGCTACCAGCAATGGGCAGGAGCCCAGCAGGCTGGGGGCTGAAGAGGAGCGCCCAGGCACTCCGGAGCTGGCCCCAGCCCCCATGCAGACAGCAGCTGTGGCAGAGCCCTTGCCTAGCCCTCGGGCCCAGCCCCCTAGCAGCACCCCAGCTGACCCTGGACCAGGTCAGGGCAGCTCCGAGGAGGAGCCAGAGCTGGTGTTCGCTGTGAACCTGCCACCAGCCCAACTGTCCTCCAGCGATGAGGAGACCAGGGAGGAACTGGCCCGAATTGGGTTGGTGCCACCCCCTGAAGAGTTTGCCAATGGGATCCTGCTGGCCACCCCACCTCCTGGCCCGGGCCCCTCACCCACCACGGTGCCCAGCCCGGCCTCAGGGAAGCCCAGCAGCGAGCCACCCCCTGCCCCTGAGTCTGCAGCTGACTCCGGAGTGGAGGAAGCCGACACTCGAAGCTCCAGTGACCCGCACCTGGAGACCACAAGCACCATCTCCACCGTGTCCAGCATGTCTACCCTGAGCTCGGAGAGCGGGGAACTCACCGACACCCACACCTCCTTCGCCGATGGACACACTTTTCTACTCGAGAAGCCACCAGTGCCTCCCAAGCCCAAGCTCAAGTCCCCGCTGGGGAAGGGGCCGGTGACCTTCAGGGACCCGCTGCTGAAGCAGTCCTCAGACAGTGAGCTCATGGCCCAGCAGCACCATGCCGCCTCTGCCGGGCTGGCCTCTGCCGCCGGGCCTGCCCGCCCTCGCTACCTCTTCCAGAGAAGGTCCAAGCTGTGGGGGGACCCCGTGGAGAGCCGGGGGCTTCCTGGGCCTGAAGATGACAAACCAACTGTGATCAGTGAGCTTAGCTCCCGCCTGCAGCAGCTGAATAAAGACACACGCTCCTTGGGGGAGGAACCAGTTGGTGGCCTGGGCAGCCTGCTGGACCCTGCCAAGAAGTCACCCATCGCAGCAGCTCGGTGAGCAGGGCAATGTGGGAGGGACCTGTCCCCTGTCTTCTGTTCCTCTTGTTCATCTACAGGCTCTCCTCTGTTCCTTCTCATTCTTTACCATCTCTCACCTATCCATACTCTCCTACCCCAAGCCGTCCACCTCTTTATCTTGTCTGGTCTTGCTTTGTTGTCTGAGATAGAAAGTTCTTTAAGCTTTCCACATCCCTGGTGGTGCTGACGGTGCTTGGGTGCATCAGAAACCTCTGGGGCATGAGCAACCCCTGGGCCCTGGTGGAGGCTGTGCCCCAGGGTTTCTTTCTGCATGTTCACACTCTAGCTCCCGACCCTCATTACTTTTACTACAAGGGTCATTTCCTGCTCCACTTTGGAGCCATGCCTCCCTCTCCACAGCTGTTTGGCTCTTCTGTGGCTCCTGCATCTACCCTCGATGCCTGCATTCTTGTCTTCTCTGTGGGTGCCCCATGTGGCTGGTGCCACCTGTTCGGGAGTTGCCTCTTGTCTTGCTTCCATTCGAGACATGGAGTACACTGGCTCCTTTTCTTTTGGGATTTGCTACAAACTTCATATTTTTCTGATACAGAAACATTTGTTTTATGGCACCCCATTGAACACAGGTTTCTGGGTTCTCATTTTTACTAGGCAGGCTCTCTACCATTTGAGCCACATCCCTAGTCCCTGGGTGTGATTTTTAAAGTGCTTCAAATAGATATATGAAAGTCACACCTTCTAGCCTCTCACCTTGTCTCTGCCTTTCCTGTCCCTCTGTCCTGCCCCCCACTGTGGAGACTTGGGGTTTGGAGACACTGAGCTGGGGTCTGGGTGCTGCTGAGGCTGCTGCTGCTGTCTGGCAGAAGCTGCCAGAGCACTGTGCTGATCCCTCAGGTCCTCCCCAGGGTTTCCCTGTGGGCTGCATGGGTGCTGGTGACGGAGCTGGCTGACTACTGGGCCAGGCTCTTGTCTGCTTTTCTCAAGCTGCTTTTGCCTCTACCCTGAGTTCCCCCCATCCTGGGTTTGGGTGGGATGCTACCTTCTGACTCCCCTGCCTTGATCCCCTGCAGACCCATGCTAGTGTGCCCTTCACTATCAGCCATGAAAGGCAGAGTTCAGAAAGTCATGAGTGGTAACAGTTTAAGGACTTGCAGGTCTTACCGGAGGACATGCCCCTCCTACCTTCTTTCAGGTTAGGATTCAAGAGATAAATGGGAGCTTGAGAAGTTCACAGTGCCTCTCCTAAGAGACCCAGGAATGCTGCTCTGGCTCCCAAGAGCTCCTGCTTGTGGGGGCTTGCTCTGGGACCTTCTCCCTTTTTAGCCTCTTCTAGTTCCCAGCTGAATTTGAAAGTCTCTTACTAACAGTGCAGTTTGGAAGGCACCCTTAGAGTGGGCATAGTGGGTGTGGATTAGTCTTGCCAGCCGCTGAGGTCCCAGGCCTCTCTGTAGAACCAGATTCCCAAGGATAGGATCTTCTGACCCAGCCTCAACAAGCCCCTGTCCTCTCTTCCCTTACCAGACCCTCTGTTTCTTTTTGCCTCTTGGTCTCCTTGAAAATCCAAGATACTTAAGGTGTATAGCACAGTGGCTGGCCCAATGCAGTGCCTCAATAAACATGCATTAAATGGATGAAAGAATGAAGCTCAATGCAAGTGCAGTCTTTTGTAATTTGACATCCAAGGAGATGGTTAAGGGCAAATTCCATGGAAGGATGACCCGACATGAGTCTGGTTCTCATCATTGGCTTTGGCTCCCATTGGGGCAGTTGGGCAATTTCAGGGCAGGATCTAGGTGATTCCTCAGCCAGAACCACTGGCATACCGTTTCTTTAAAGTCATTCTCCCACTATGGTCTTTGGCAATCTCCTCAGTTGGAATAAGGTTTTCTTATCCTTCCATTACACCTCTCTAGGCCTCTGTGTTTTTCTTTCTCAGACAGACATGGGACTGGAGAAGCAAGACCAGAACTCTTACCTTTGCCCTCTGTCTGTCTGCAGGCTTTTGGGAAATAAGTCTCATTTACTTGATAATTCCTGCAAAGTTTTGGCCTGTGTTTGTCTTTGTATGACCCTGCTGTCCTGACTGATCACTGAGGTCATTGACTGGGTGTGAAGCAGGGGGTGGGGCCAGCCCCTGGCAAACAGGAGCAAGAGTGAGGGAGGGTGGCTTTCCAGAGACAAGCCAAATGCTGGACAACCTAAGGTAGCAGATGTCTCTCATGGCATAGCCCTTGCCAACCTCAGCAGCTTACTTCTTTGCCTGACTCTGGCTCGGGGCCACCAAATGGTCCTGGATTTCAACCCTTAGCAGGTCACACCTCAGCTTCATTTTCTTTGGACAGGCCCTTTAGCCTCTGTGAACTTCTATTCCTCCTCAGTGAAATGGGAACTGGAATAGGTGGCAGCATCAACTATGAAGCATGGAACAAGCACCAGGCTGGGGTATAGTGAACCCTCTTGCATGTGAGCTAACATTACCTTTCCTGCCACTGACACCCAGGTGCTTAACCTAGGTTAAGTCTTAGAGTCCTTTGTGAGAAAGTAATGGTACTAGAGAATATTACATCCTATTATTTCATCTTAACAACTATTCAGTTAGGTGGTCAGTATTTTCCAAATAATAAAACTGAGGTTCCAGAGAAAGTCACTCCATCAGTAAGTAGTGGTGTCTGTGTGATCCCAGGCTTTGTCTGCTATACTTGGAGCTTCTTACCTTAAGTCCCTTCTGATGACATACATTGGGTTTATGCTTAGTAATCTCACATTGAAAAGGAAGAGGGTCAGTGTTACTCACATGTACCAGGCATGTGTGTAGTAAAGAGCACCAAGTGCCCCCCAGACAACCCAACTGCATTAAACCACCCACCAGCCTTCTCCACTAGCCTCTGAATTCTCTTCTGTTTCCATCCACTCTTCTTCTACTTCTTGGGTTCCTTCTTGCTGTCAGACCTGGGGAAAACCACAGCCCTCTGGGGTGTGCCCTGCAGCCCACCACAGCCTCTTTGTTTCTGACTGTAGGCAGGAAGCTGAGCATAGGATGCTGTGGCCATATCTGGGTCCATCCTGTATTAGGTCTGGTCTTTTGTGAGGTATGTGCATCAGCTCTCACCCTATAACCACTGGTGTCTGGAGTCTGGTGCTCACCTTTCCCTCAGGGATAAAACTGCTAGTGAACCTGTCTTTTAGAGCAGTGTCCAAAGTATGGGATGTTCAGATGTCTAGGTGTGGCTGCTTCCTTTCTAGGACCTATCCTGGCAGAGGTCATGCCTTTGAGTCACATCCCCTGGAACCTTGTGTGGTCCCTGAGTTTTGCCACCTAGGCTCATCTCTCTCTTGCCTTGATGAACGCCCCCAGAAATGAAATGCCCCTTTCTGTCCACCTTCTCCGCAGATGGGCCCACCTAACCACAGGTGCTCTGCAGCTTGAGATCTTTCTGGGATGCTAATATATCATGGGGCCAAAGGTTGGTAACTTGTAGAAAAATGATCAACTCATTTACATTGGGGCCATTTTTGGTTTTGGGGTGGTAGCTTGAGGGTACAGGACAGTACCCTCGGTGCTGCCTCTGAAGTTAAGGACCACTGGCTTTCTAATCGATGATTGCAGGAAGACCATCTTCTCTGTGCTCCCAGCTTTGGTTCTAGTCCTGCTGGGTAGACAATTTGTACCTGTCTCTGAACTCCATTGGTCTTCTAAGCCCCATGCTTGAACCTCAATCTCACATGTGGTTTGAGTTCCACAGTAATGCTCTATTAGGCCTTGGCTCTTTCAGGGCTTTTTTTTTTTTTTTTTTCCAGTGCTGGCGATAAATCCAGAGCTTTGCACATGCTAGGCAAACACTCTACTATTAAGCTACATTCCCTAGCCCTTGGTGTATTGAGACAGGGTCTTGCTATGTAGCTCAGGCTGGCCTTGAACTCACTATATTGCCCAGACAGTCTTTGAACTCAACATTGCCCTGCCTCCACCTCCTGAGTGCTGATATTATAGGCATGAACCACTACACTCAGTGGCTCCCAGTTTTATGCCTGTTTGATTCTCATGTCTGAACAAAGTTCGTGGTGAAATAGCTTTGGAAACACAAAAGTGGTTCTTTGCTGCAGTACTTCTCAGAGCCTTTGGTCACTGTGGAGAAGGGCACAGTGTACTGTGTTCTCTAGACCTGTTAGGGTCACTAATTAGATCTCACAGGAGATCTGCTTTCTTCAAGATGGTTAAGAAACTCTGCCCTGGCTGTTTGCTATAGGCCCTACCTGTTAGCATGTCTATACTTGCAGATGCTTGATGCCAGCTGGCCACTGGAGCCAGCATTCCCTGTGTCCCACATACAGGTTACATACAGGTGTGGGCACATGCAGGTATCTTCCCAGAGTCCTGAACTCTGTTGGGTAATAGGAATGGGTTACAGAGTAGACATCGGAACACTGGAGCACACAACGGCTAGAGCCACGAACAGGCCTGGGTGGTGAGCAGAGAGGCCATGGCAACAGAGAGGATGCACACAAAAGCTTCAGAGCCCCGACTGGTTCAGTGCTCCTACTGTGATCGTTTCCCTTAATGAGGCTCCCAAATTACAAAAGGTCACAGGCCTAGACCTGCCCCATGGAAGTAAAATGGCAAAAGGCCCAAGGTGGAGACCAGGTCTGAGTATGGACTTCTTCCTGCCAGTTTGTACCAATGGCCTGACAGAGGTGGGCAAGGCCAGGAGGGAGATGCTATTATTTTTATAGGATGACTTTTTTTTCCAGTGCATATTCCTGGCTTCGTGCCAGGTACAAGACATCAAGGAGAGTAGTTTAAGAAGGAAATGTGGAACTGGGGATAGGCCCTAGGTTTGATCCTCAGCCCGTATGAGTAAGTGAGGTATTAAGTAAGGAAAGAAAGAAAGAGAGAGGGAAAAGGAGAGGGAGAAAGAAAGAAGTGAAGTGAAAGGTCCTGAGAACATGAAAAGTCTGGACCCAGAGGTAACGAGGAGGGCCTAGAATAATGTTGAGAGTTGGTGACTTGTTGACAGTAGGGACGAAAAGATGGGGGAGCTGACAGTGACTCCCAGACAGTGGGGTGCTGTTCACTGGGGAGAGTTGGCATGTTAGGAGATCCCAGTAGAGGTCATGAGCTAAGAAAAGAGTGGTGGGAATCTCGTATGTGACATTCCTAGGCACTCCAACCATAGCAGAGGCTGGGTGCAAATAACATGGCTCAGGAAAGTACAGACTATAAAGAGCATGGACAGAAAAACCCGTCCAGGATGAGGAAGGAATGACTCCAAGGGAGCCCTACTAACAGCCTTGGTGAGTGCCAAGAGGGAGACCAGACCTCACTGGCCAGGAATCCCTGGAGACAGAATGGGACAAGACCAGATGTTGGTGGAAAAGACTTTGGGGGTAATGGATACTTCACTGAGTGATATGAACGTCATGTATGGAGGGAAGCTGCTGAAAGCATTGGTGGTGATGACACCTGGTAAAGTATTGTGTCTTAGAGGGTGAGTGCCGAGGCAGGTGCTGTGAGGTGGCAGTGTGGTGGCCAGACCCTGGCCAAGGAGGTGATCAGACAGGCAGGAGTGGCAATTGACAGATATGGGGGTGCTGAGATGTGTGTGGAAGCATGTAGAAGTCAGATTTGGACACTTTTGGGGTTCCTGCCCTAGGGGCCATGTGGGTAGTACTTTTCCCCAAGAGTAGGGTGAGGAGAAGACACCAGGCCCTGGGTATCCTGCCATTCCCTTCTGGGTCCTGAAGCTTTGGAGGGCACAGTCTGCCATGGGCTTTTCTTCTAGGCTTCCAGACATCTTCAACATGGGTGGGAGGTGGTGGGCATATGACTGGCCTTCTTCCGTAACTCAGTGGCTCCTCCGACTCTTGTCCCCTGGCCTCTGGGGACCTCTGGAGGGTACATGCCTTCATCCTAGGAGTCCAAATTACCTCTGCCGGGTCATAGGACTTCAGTGCCACCCAGATAGACACAACTCTGCTCTGCATAGCTTGGACCTCCTGGACCCAGACCCTGTGCTAGGCCTTGACTGAACCTCCCACTATTGCCCAACAGCTGCCTTGTACCCTCTGCCTTCCAGTGCTTGGCTTTGATCCCACTGGCTTAGCAGTGTGCTTCTGTCTCACCTGAGATTCCAAGTATATGTGATATCATAACATGGAGCCTTAACCTTTGAGGTGGGCCCTGGGTAGGCATTCCATCCTGTGATGGTCAGTGTGTGAATCCTGGGATGGGGCAAGATGACATTTCTGGTCTTGCTCCTTTGTGGGTGTCTACATTCTGGCCCCACAGGTATGAATCTCTCATAGTCTCAGCCAGTTCCCTCCAGAACCCTCCCATCCCCCATGGGAACCCCATTGTCTCCCCCCTGGCTGCCACCCCACTTTGCCCTGAAGCATGGGGCCGGGTTCCAATGGGAGCAGCTAGAGTTTCTTCTGGTGGTTTTGCCTGTTCCCACCTCAGGTGTTCCTGGAACCCCTCTCTGTTGGGGGTTTTGTTTGGCCTCTTGAGGAAAGTCTGCTCTGGGTTTGAGCAGTTAGGAGAAGGCAGTAGGAATGGGCTGAGGAGAGATCAAAGGTGGAAGGGATGAAAATGAGGATGAGTGGAAGAGAAAGCTCTCTGGAGAGGGGCTGAACTTGTACAGTGGGAGATGAAAGATGAAACCTACTTTGAGGTTTATGTTGGTTTTCTCATCACCAGCAAAATACCTGACATAACTTAGAAGGAAGAAAGATTTATCTTGACTCATAGTTTTAGGGGTTTCAGTCCATGGTTGCTTAGCTCCATTGCTGTGGGCCTGTGGTGAGGCAAGGCAACATGGTGGAGAGGACATAGTAGAACAGAGGTGTTCTTCTCATGGCAGTTGAGAAGCAGAGAGAGGGAGAGATAGAGGAACCTGGGATGAGATAAAGCCCCCAAGGACACACCCCCAATGACCTACTTCCTGCAGCTACCCTCCCCCCTGCAAAAGCTTCCATCACCTCCCAATAATATCAACAAATTATGAATCCATTGGTGGATTAATCCATTGATTAGGTCAGAGCCCTCATGTTCCAATCACCTCTCGATGATTAGATCTACAAGCTGGGGACCAGGCCTTCAATACATGAACATTTTTGGGACATACTTCATGTCCAAACCACAATGAGGAGAGCAATGTTGAGGAAGCCCATGCTGGTGGGACAGGCACTGGTGATACTTCTTGGTTAGGCCAGCACCAAGATGGACAGGAACCCAGAGGAGGGATCCTTAGGCCAGCCAGAATAGGTAAGGCATTGTGGAGGTGGGATGGCATCTGGAGAGAAACCAGTCAGACAGCAGAGAGGACTCCACACTGTTGATTGCCAAGTGCTTGCTAAGCAACACTTGTGGTCTACTCTGCTTTAGACAGAGCTAGAGAGCTGCTCACATGCAGGCAAGTCAAGGACCCTGTCAGATCTGCCCAAGTCCACCTGTACTGTCCAAGTACCTGTAGATGCTTCCTCAGCACCTCCACATCAGCTGGACCCACCTCCTGAGTTCCTTCCTCCACCAGGTGTCCAGCAGGGGTCCCTGCACCTGGCTGCCCATTGTGTGGTTGTGACTGAAGGCCTTGTGAGCCTGGCCTGCTAACACTCTCTTTCATTGCTCTCTCCTGCCCATCTGCATGTGGCTGCTCTGTCTAGCTGTGCGGTGGTTCCGAGCGCCGGCTGTGTAAGTGAGCATGCCCATCCCATGCCTCTCACAGTCCATGTGCTGTGCCTGGTTGCCCCAATCCGCTCTGCATGGCTGTGTGGAGCTTTGGTGCTATTGACAGCCCCTGAGACTATCCCTGCCATAGTAAGGGGTAGAGATGGGAATGAAGGGATATAGGACTGGAGCAGCCACCCTACGCTGGCCTCCCTCAGCCAGGCAGGATTGAGGCAGTGCTAGAGGTTCAGGCAGGTGAGACTGGGAAGTGAGGCACCATATGTCCTTCTGAGTCTGTGTGTATGCTGCTGCATCATGCCACTGCATGTGTGCAACCTATGTGGGAACCATTGCTGCTGTCCCATGCTGTTCAGGGAAACTGTCTTCCTGTTAAGGGTATGCTGCTTCCTCATACTTGCATGTGCTGTATTTTGTATGGGCATGACTGCTACCTGGTGTGTGTCTCCACTGTCATGGACCCGTTTGGTCTTGTGCCGTTGCCAGTCCTTACTGTAACCCAGCCATGCCTGAAGCTAGCTTAGGTTCCATTGGGTCTCCTCAAGAGAGCAGAGCTGTGTGTGTGAGGAGTGGCTTAAGAGTATTGCCAAATCTTGCCGTCCAGGCTGTCTGTGGATGGGGCCATGCCTCTGGCCAGTGTTGGAGGCTGGCAGGAAGGCAGCCAGCCCTTAGCCATGAGAGACTGTTCTTTCCCCTGGTGGGCTCTCTGTGGAGTCTGCATGGAGTGGGGGTGGGGAATCAGTCATAGTCCTTATATTCCAGCCTATCTATGGGTACCCAAGAGCAGGGCACTCACTAACTCAGGGCGTCAAACACAAGGATCAGAGTTCCCCCAGCTCCAGGCCTCCTAGCTCCTTTAGCTCCTTGCCCTGTTCCCCTCTGCATACCCCCACTTTACTCGGCGCCCCTCACCTGGCCCTGACCCCCTCTCCCTCCGCAGGCTCTTCAGCAGCCTCAGTGAGCTGAGCACCATCTCAGCGCAGCGCAGCCCCGGGGGCCCGGGCGGCGGGGCCTCCTACTCTGTGCGGCCCAGCGGCCGCTACCCCGTGGCGCGACGCGCCCCAAGCCCAGTGAAGCCCGCGTCGCTGGAGCGGGTGGAGGGGCTGGGGGCGGGCGCGGGGGGTGCGGGGCGGCCCTTCGGCCTCACGCCTCCCACCATCCTCAAGTCGTCCAGCCTCTCCATCCCGCACGAGCCCAAGGAGGTGCGCTTCGTGGTGCGCAGTGTGAGCGCGCGCAGCCGCTCCCCCTCGCCGTCACCGCTGCCCTCTCCTGCGCCTGGCCCTGGCCCCGGTGCCCCTGGCCCGCGCCGGCCCTTCCAGCAGAAGCCACTGCAGCTCTGGAGCAAGTTCGACGTGGGTGACTGGCTGGAGAGTATCCACCTAGGCGAGCACCGCGACCGTTTTGAGGACCACGAGATCGAGGGCGCACACCTGCCTGCGCTCACCAAGGATGACTTCGTGGAGCTGGGCGTCACGCGCGTGGGCCACCGCATGAACATCGAACGCGCGCTCAGGCAGCTGGATGGCAGCTGACGCCCTACCCCTACTTGCGCTCCGGCTGCGCCCTGCCGGCAGGGCCCCCACCCAACCCCGGGCCGCGGGCTCGGCCCGCCCCCTACGACGGCGCCCGGGCCAGGAATGTTGCATGAATCGTCCTGTTTGCTGTTGCTCGGAGACTTGCCCTGTACATTGCTTAGTGCCCCCCCTGCCGCCGAGCCCCACCCAGCACACAGGGCGCGGACCAGGGAGGCTGGGGCGGGAGGGGGTTAGAGGCAGGGTGATCTGGCCTGACCACCTCCTTCACAGCTCCTGGTGGCCATTTTCCCAGAGGGGGAACCTAGTCCAGCATGCGAGGTCAGGACACGCCTTGGTGACTCGGGGGGAGGGGGGAGACATTGGGGTTCTCGATGGGGGCCAAGGAGCCCCCTGTTTTGCATATTTTATTCCACTCTATATTTGGAACGAGAAAAGGAACAAATATCTCTGTCCGTAATAGTTCCCACCACCCCTTCCCCTCAAACTCTCCCGCTGATCTCGCCACAGCTGCCCAGTCTTCCATCTCCCGCCCCTCACTGCCACTCCGTAAGGGGCAGGGGACGCTCCAGCTGGTCTGGGGTTGGCCAGGGTCCTGGTGGCCCACCCTGGGGCCCAGGCTCAGCCCCTTTCCCTCGCTGAGCTATAGTGTGCCCCACCCACCCTTCAGGTGCTGCTCGGGGGGAGGGAGGGAGGGTCAGCAGGCATTTTCCTTCTGGGCACTAGCAGGGCCTGGTGGCCTGGGAGACCATAGCCCTGGGGCTGGGACTGGGCCCAGGCCCTGGCACTCCAGTCCCAGCCATTTTCCTCACAGGGTCTCTCCCCAAGGAGGGGTCCATCCTCCTTCCCACTTTCTTGGGCAACTACAGCAGAGAAGCCCCCGGCCTGGGACCCCAAAGTCTCCTGTTTTTGCCCTGTGTGTGTGCACGCCTGTATGTGCGTGTGAAAATCTGGGTGCGGCTGAGCACGTGGGAGCCCGGTGTGTGCCTGATTGTGGAGTGGCCCTGAGGGTCCTCTGGATTGGTGTGAAGACTGTGGAAGGGGTACAGGATGTATGTATGGGTGTGAACCTGTGAAAGCACCCTGTCTCCTATTCCAAACAAAGGCTGTCCTGCCCCTGGGTCCTGCTGTTTGCCCAGCCTGTCCTCCCAGAGCCTCTCCCAGCCTAAGCAGGGTTCCTTGGGGGAAACCCTGTGCTTGGAGAGGCCAGAAGGGGTCCCCTTGGAGGCAGTGCCCCCTTTGGGCTTCTGAGGGGATTGTGGGGAACAACCCCTAGAGTCAGGCCACATGGGTCTTGGGGAGAGTCAAAGACCCCTGGGGTGCCCCAGCCCCCTTACTGTGACTCCTCACACTCAGCAATGACCTGTGGGGTGGGGGGCCCTTGGGGCATTTTTAAATCTAGGGTTTGGAGTCTGGACTAAGCTCCATCCACATCACTCACAAGTTTCTGTTTATATTTCTAGCTTTTTTTAATAAAAAAAAAAAAAAAAAGAAAACAGATGTTTTCACAGCCCAGGGGCCTGGCACGCCGGTCTGTGCCTGCCCCTCCCTGGCCCACCGGCCCCATTCCCTGGGCACAGAGTCACACTCACTAACCCTCTCACTAACAGACCAGGTCACACACACAGCAGCAGTCATTGTAACAGACTGCCACATACACACTCAGTCTCACACTCACCTGTGGGTTTTTGGTTCCGTTCAATTTGGGTTTTTAACTTTACAGGGTCAGTTCCACTTCACCCCTCCTTTTGTATGGAGTTCCATCCAGGGGCTTTCACCCCTGCTCCAGTCCCGAGGCCTCCTGACCCTGACGTTGTGATACACCCCACAGAGATCTATGTTTCTTATATTATTATTATTATTATTGATAATTATTATAATATTATGTAATAAATTTATAAGAAATGAAGCTCTGTCTCTGTTGCCTGATTGAGGGGATGTTGGGAGCAGAATCTGTCACTGTCACTGTCCCTCAGACAGGTTATACAACCCCCCAGGCTTGACTGCATCCTCTGGTGACTCAGCATCATCTCTGATCTCCCTGCCCAGGTACCGGCTTCTCCCCTAGTCTGCTGGACCCCAGCCCAGGTTTCCTGTGCTGATGTAGCTCACTGGGTGGCATGACCTAAATTAGAAATCTGGTGGTCCTCCGTGGTCTCTGTCACTTCTGCATGTGTGTTCCCCCCACATCCCCCAGTGGTGTTGGAAATGAAACCCAGGGCTTCCTTTATGCTAGGCAAAGTGCTCTACCACTCGTAGCATGGTATACCCCTCTAGAGAGATACCCCCTGTCCCCTAGGATTTAAAACTCTTTATAGTGTCCAGGTGTTTATAAATAAGTTGCTCTTGATTTCCAACTTTCTCATGTTTTTCTCCACTGTCCTATCCCTGCTGACTATACCTGGGTCGTCTTCTCCCTGAGTGATATGGTGATTTTCTGTCTCCACTCCTACTCCTGCTCACCAACACCAGACTAGCTGTACAAATAAAGAAGACGCTCATCTGGCCTCACCTGTACCATCCCAGGCACACTTCTTGCCCCCAGCCCCTTGTAAGTCCCTGAGCCCACTGTGGTGGTGCTTCAAGGCACTTTGTCCAGTCATTCCCACCTCATGCCTGGATCACTTACCTACCTATCACCGCCCTTGTTGACTGAGCTCTATGTCTCTTTTTGTCCAGGAAGTCCTCCCTGCCCTACTCTCCCCAGACTCTTGAGTTGGACGTTAGGCTTTGCAGTATCACAGCTTCTGGGTCCATCTCCAATTAGAAGCTGGTGCTTCTAACCTTGGGGTCCCTCTAGGGGTTGGAGCTCTTCAGGGCATGAGCTTCACTTTTTCCTGCTACCCTGAGCCAGGTGTCAGACTCAGACGTGTCTTACAAGAGCACACCAGCAGCAAGTGAGCAGACAGCTGCCATTAGGCAATCATGTGGTAGAGCCCTGCCTAGCAAGTGTGAGGACCTTAGTTCAAACCCAGTACCACCAAAAAAAGAAAGAAAAAAGTAAAACCTTTATTATTTTGCAGTGCTGGGAATAGAACCCAGGGAATACAAGTGCTCTATCACTGAACTATATTCCTAACAGTCAAAGCTTTAGTATCACTCCTTGAATGCTTTTTTTTTTTTTTTGGTACTAGGGTTTGAACTCAGGGCCTTAGCACTTCCTAAGCAAGTGCTCTACCACTTGAGCCATTAATTCTTATTGCCTTTTTTTTTGGCAGTACTGGGGGCTGAACTCAGGGCCTCATGCTTGCTAGGCAGGTGTCACTCCTTAAGCTACACTGCCAACTCTTTTTGATTTTGGTTATTTTTAAGATAGGGTCTCACTTTATGCCCAGGGGGTCTTGGACCACAATCCTCCTATTTATGCTTTCTCATAGCTGGGATGACAGGCATGAGCCACCATGCTCAGCTTTTATTGGTGGAGATGGGTCTCTTGGACCTTTTACCTAGGCTAGCTTCAAACTACAATGCTCCTGATCGCTACCTCCAGAGTAAATAGGATTTTACGCTTGAGCCACCATGCCTGGTTTGTTGCTATTTCTTGAACTATCCCAAGTGTCCCACTCTCTTTCTGTCTCTTTCTCTCCCTCTCTCTCTTTTTAGGTGTAACCTGACACCCAGTTAAAATACGTGAGGCCTCCTAATATTCAGTAGTTAAGATGAACCCTGTCCTGTTAACACCCAGCTTGATAAAATAGGTCAGCCTGACCTTCAGATAGAGAAGATGAGACCATTGACATAAAAGTTGAAAAAGAGAGATGTTACATAATAGGGGAGAAGAATCTTCCTGACACTCAGAAGAAACACATTCTGTGATTCAGGTATGGGAGGCAAAAGTTTCTGATACTCAAAGTACTCAAGAGCCCTGAAACTGACATAGGGAGACAAGTCCTCCTTATACTCAGGTAGGAAAGGAGACCTCCTGGCATGCAATCAGCAGAAATAAAAATCTCATGACATTCAGTTGCTATTATTGAGACCTGTTTACATTCACTTAGGGTAAATAAAACCTCTTGCTTAGCAGATAGAGAAATACTACATCTCAATACTCAGGTGAGGGAGTTAAATCGTCCTGCGCTCACGTAGAAGAATGAGGCCTTGTTGTTCCTTGATAAATAGAGATTAGATGACCTGGTCCAGTAATAGACAAGAACTTTAGACCTACAGGGAGAGTATTGGGACTCTCATATGTAGAAAACAATAACTCTTTTAAGAATTAGTTATAGGAGATGAGAGTTCTGAATATTCCTCTAGAGGAAATGAGATGTCCTGATGATCAGTAAAAGAAATGGGAATTCCTGAAAGGCAGGGAAGATAAGATTTTGTAACATTCAAATAGAGGAGATGAGATATTCAGTAGGGGAGATGAGACCTCTTGATCACTTAGAGAAGAAGTGGAACTTCCAGACTTACCTCTGAAGAGATGAGACTCTAAGGAAGGAGCTGTGACACTAAGGAAGAGCATATAAAACTTCCTTGTACTCAAATAGAAGAGATGGGATTTCATGACCCTCAGGTAGGGGAGGTGAGACCTTGGGGCAGATGGGCAGGGAGTTGAGAACTTTGGACATTCAGAGTAGATGAGACAAAAGTTCATGACATTCAGGTGGGATGATGAGACTATATTAAAGTATAGGAGAGGAGACTTCCTGGCAGTGAGGTGGGAGGAACTGATACTTCATTATGGCAATTGAAACTTCAGAACACTCACATAGGTGAGGTGCAGCCTTGAAACATACAGGCAAAGGATACAAGATCTCAGGTAGAGAAGATGTGACAAGGTGACAATCAGATGGAAGAGATGAGGACTCTGGTCCTGAAGTGGAAGATAAAGAGATGTTCTCACATACAGGAAGAGGAAATGAGAGTTCCCTGATACTCGGGTAAGATATTCAAGACCTACTGAACATTCAGTTGAGGGAGATGTGACCTTCCCAAAATTATATGAGATGGTAAAGTATGACATTCAGTCAGAGAAGTTACTGAGAGAAATCAATACCATCCCATAATCCAAGAACTCAGCAATCAGGAAGTTGAGGTGAGAAGTCTTGATAGGTAGGAGAGATGGGATCTTGTGACACTCACAGGGAAGATATAACCTTCAGATCCTCTGATAAGCTGGAAACATACTCAGGTATAAGAGATGATGCTCTTAGGGAGGTGAAACACTGTAACATTCAGAAATATGTGATGAGTGTTTGTCACAGTCTGGTAGGCAAGATGCTACCTTCTGACAATCATACAGGAAAAAAAAGACTTCATGATACACAGGTAGCTATGATGAAAGTTCCTGACTTTCAAGTATGGGAGATAACACCTTGCTGCCCTTAGGTCCCAGAGAGAAGACCGGGAGATATTCAGGAGGGAGACCTTGTGATATTCAGCAATGGACAAGAAGGTGAGTTTATAGGAAATTCATCTCAGCTACACCAGAGGCGATTAGGAGGATTGCAGTTTGAGGCCAGCTTTGGCAAAGTTAATACAAGACTCTCCCTGAAAAACTAAAAACAAAAAAGCTGTGGGGTTAGGGTTGTGGGCTTGTGTGACCTGTCTGCTGGGGTGGGGGTGGGAGGTCACCCTGCTGATTGGCCAGAAGGCCATGGAGCCTTGTGAGGTCATGATTTGTAGGTCAGGTTGGGGCAGGAGTATGGTAGAGATGCTGCCAACTGCCATTCTGCTCGCCTTGGCAGTGCCTGTAGTTGCCAAAGATAACTCCACGTGTGAGTAAGTGTTGGGAGCCTTGGTGGGGGAAGAACATCTTCTGAATAGCAAGGCCCACCCAGACTCCTTCTGTCTAGGGCTCAGGAGGGGACTAAGCTTGAGTCTTAGCATACCCCGGATGGTCTCATAGCTCCTATGACGCACATCCCTAACTCAGACCCTCCCAGATCACAGACCTATCAGCCCTAAACCCCTGGGTCCCTAAGTTCCCTTGAGAATAATCTCTCAGCTTCTAGATCTGTGACTCCCTACTCTCCCAGGGCTGCCTCTCAGACATTGAGTCCTAATTTTTAGGAGTCCTGTCTTCCTATGGACAACTGAAGTATCCCAGCTATGCTTGATTCTAAAGGCATCATGTGCTACCTACAGACTCTCTCGCCCCTGAGGATCCCACAATGCCAACAAATCCTGAGCTACCGGTGGCTTCCTGCCTGTGACACAGTTACCAGGCCTTCTACCTCTGGACCCTCACTGCTCCTAATGCTCCCCCCATGTCTGTAGGCTGTGCTATCTGTTTGCAGCTACTCTCTCCTCCTGTCACTCTCTAACCCAATCCCGATGCCCCAAGACCCCCTTAGTCATCTAACTCCCTCCTGAGTCTTCCACCAAGATTGGTCCTGAAGGCTCCAGACTATTTAATACCCCTCTACTTCCAGACCCTCCACTCAACTTCTGACTCTCACTCTGCCCAGAGATTCCCCCATGCCTCTAGGGCCCATACAGCCTGTCCTAGCTACATATGACCCCCTCTTTCTTCACTTTGTGATGATACCCACAAGAGTCAAGAAATCATAATGCCTGTGACTTCTTGCACACCCTAGGCTGCCCCTCTTTCCCAGAAGTCTGCCCCAGCCCCATATCCCTGCCTTCCCCTAGGTATGGCGGTACAAGGACAAGATATACCTATTCTTTGTTTGAACTGTGTCCTGGTCTCTTCTCAGTGGCCCCTGTGGGTTACGGTTCAGGCAGAACCTGCAAGGGGCTCTCCGGGTTGTTGGAGGGCAGTCTGCGCAGCACGGGGCCTGGCCGTGGATGGTCAGCCTCCAGATCTTCATGATCCACAACAGCCGCAGGTACCATGCATGTGGAGGCATCTTGCTGAATTCCCACTGGGTGCTTACAGCTGCGCACTGCTTCGATAACCAAAAGTACGTGTGGGGACTTGCAGAGGGAGGTCTCCAGAATGCTCTTTTTGGAAAGGGACATTCCCTAGGGGCTCTGTGCAGGGTCTCCATGGGGCTTTGAGTCAAGTGGCAACTAGACCCTGGCTGAGGGGAGGCTCTGAGGGTCACTCTCACCACAAGCTTCTGTCTAGCTCATCTGTAAATGAGAACGACTAGCTTACCTTTGTGCCCACAGAAAAATCTATGACTGGAGACTGATTTTTGGAGCACAGGAAATCGAATATGGGAACAGTAAGCCAGTGAAGGCACCTCTGCAGGAGAGATATGTGGAGAAAATTGTCATCCATGAAAAATACAGTGCTGTGACAGAAGGGAACGACATTGCTCTCTTGAAGATCACCCCTCCTATCCCATGTGGTCGTTTCATTGGGCCAGCCTGTCTGCCCCATTTTAAGGCTGGCCCTCCTAAAGTTCCCCAGACCTGCTACGTGGCTGGGTGGGGATACATAAAAGAGAACGGTGAGTATGGGAGGGGCTCCATTCTTCTGGCTGTCTTTGTGGAGTAGGGTTATATGCTGATACCTGGTTGAGCAAGTTTAGTCCTCTTCATGGTGTCACAAATAGAGTCCATCATGGTGTCCTTTCACAGCTGGAGAATTTAGTATGAGAGAAGCTGAGTCCCCTGTCCAAGGTCACATGACTGGTGACAGCCTGGCTGCCTAAGGGAAGACTATGTGGCAGGCACAAGTAGAACCTTGGATAAGTTCAAGGTATGACTGTTTTGGTGTCTGGAGCCCCAGATGCTAGACGTTGAACATTGGGAACATACCTGAAAGAGCATTTGGAGAAGAACTTTGGATGTGGCTTTGTGACTTTGGGCCGGTTTTTCTTAACTGTGAATGGAAGGGCCAGATCAAGATGGCTTCCAAAATGACCATTTCCAACTCTGTGATCCAGGGCTGTCTTTATCCACCATCAGCAGCAGACTCTGAGACTCATGCCCCATCTTTGGGCAGCCATAGTACCAGCCTCTGGAGACTGGGAAGGGAGTCAGGTGGTGGATATAATTTTCTCTGAGTCATAGGTATTTAGAAGTTCAGGTCCCTTGGAGCTGTGTAGCTGCTTCTCTAGATGTCTCTGTCCTTTGTCAAACTCTCTGCCTCTTCCCTGGCCCAGACCTCTTACCTGTCCAACACTCCCTGGCTCGTTTGGTACCAGATGAGTAGCAAGGGAGTAGTAGTATGTCTTCCACAACAGACCAACTCACAGGGCCCAAGGTATGGTCTACAGCAACTGTCATTGCTGGCCTGCGTCCCAGACACCCCTCACCACATGTTTGAAGCTTACAGGCACTCTTTATTCTAGAAGCAACGGGACACCCAAGTTTCTATCCAAGTAGAACTTGGTCTCTGCACATGACCAGTGATTTCAGCTTTAAGTGGTTGCATGAATTTTTATTGTGGATATGAAAATGTGACTGAAATTAACCTAGCTTGCTCTCTCTAACCCGCCACCCCCCGCCCCGTTTTTTGCAGTACTGGCATTTGAACTCAAGGCTTCCCTGAGTTCAAATTCTAAGTAGTGCAGTCATTTGAAGTTTAAAACTAAGTCTTTTTTTTTTTTGTAACAAAACAATCAAAAATTTTGGATTCTTTATTTCCCTTTTATTCCCTTCTCCCAGAGGCCGATCTAATTCCTGGCAGGTTGCCACCTGTCCTGTTCTTTAGAGAAGGGGGTCTTGTCCTAGCTACTCTTGTTTTCACAGGCCTTTACTGACATGTGACTGTTGCTTGCTTTCTGGCCTGGGGTGCCTAGTCCCATCCCAGCTGCTGATGTCTATGGCTCTGGCCTAAGAGTGAGGACATGCATTATTCTGGTCTAACCTCCTATCTGTCCTCTGCCCATGTCCATAGCTCTGGGACCATGTCCCAGTCTCTGAGAGGCTGGTGTCAGGGTTCCCACTTTCACCCCCACCTTTACTATCTTGTTGCTCAGGAGTATTGTGGCTCCACCTTGGATGTCAAAGTGTCAGCTACACTTTGGATGTCAAGTAAGACCTTTTTGTTCTGAAATCCCCCTAAATTAATGGGGTATGTTAAATTTTTGTTTTGTAACCCCCCTCCTAGTTTTAAAGAATCCCCTTATGTTCCAAACTCCTGTGACGTATCTATTTTGTTCTGCCTCTTTCTGGAGTTCATCTGCTTTAGGGCTGGAGGAACTCTCCAGGTATTGCTCCTTTGTCTTGAATTTGAATTTTGAGTTCCTACAGGCTTCTCCCACCCCACATTGGCTACTTAAAGCCAAGGGCCTGGGATTGAAAGAACATAGTTTTCTATTTCAGGACACTTGGCTCTTCATAATTAGACCCATGACTTTCATGACTATGGGCTCTGCCATAGATTTAAAAGTCTCATATTGGCTCACAAGTCAGGATTGTTGTCACTGTTATCTCAGTGTCATTCCTATGCCAAGTGCAGTGCACACACAAAACTCTCACTGCTACTTGGATGGGAAGAAAGGTGGAGGCTAAAGGGATTACCAAAAGAACCAAAGTCAACAAATATGTATACAGTAGCCATCTACTGACTGCCTCTGAGAGCTCAGCGCTGCATATGTGGCTTCATTGCATTTTCTATCTTACATCCTGGGCCTGCTTGGCTATGTTCCAGATCTGCCCTACATCAGGCTTGCTCTCCACCAGTGCTGTTGGTAGGGTCTAGACATGCCCACTAGGCTGATGTGGGAGGGGAACAGCACAGCTGCTGACAGGGGAGACCCTGCTGGCTGCATGTGATGAAGAGGCACAGCTGCACTGGTTCTGGGACTGTGTCTAAGACAGATACGTGTTGGCTGCATGAGTGACAGCCTAGCCAGATCCAACCTCAAGATTGTGATTGATAGGGTGTGGGGAGGTGAAGGAGGCCCTGATTCAGCACTCTTCTTCCTAAAATCTCAGAGCATATTTGAAGCATGTGTGGAGGATTCTGTCCACAACTGGGTGGAGGAATTCTGCTCAGTGATAAAAAGCAGGAAATGTGACTTGTAGCCATATTGTGGGGAACAAAAGGTGTGCCTCAGACTTGGGTCTAGAGAGGGGCAATTCTAGCCAGATTCCAGTTACCCTCATTCCCATTCCAGACTCAAAATGGAGTAACAACCCTTCAGACTCAGAGTGAGCACTTGGCACATGCTATGTTTTTGTTTTTGTTTTTTTGGTTAATGCCACAAGCAACATCTGGAATCCTTCATCTACCATTAATACACAAACCCATTCACCCTTCCTTCTTTCTGCTCTTTCTCCAGGTAATAGTCCTCCACTGTCTGCTCTTTCACTTTGTATTTCTTCCTTTCAGGAGTGTATTAGGAGAGCCTGAGGGATCTAGGTTTAACTAGAGCGTTAAAGAGGATGGGAATTCATGGAGGGAGGAGGCAGGGCTTTTCCTCCACATCTTCCTTGATCACTGACCACTGTGTAGCCTGGCTGCAGTCCCCAGGCCATCACCTCTCCTGCAGGAGGCACGCGTGAATCTCATCGACCTTGACCTGTGTAACTCAACCCAGTGGTACAATGGGCGTGTCATGTCAACTAACGTGTGTGCAGGGTATCCTGAAGGAAAGATTGACACATGCCAGGTAAATTCCTTCTAGTGTCCAGACCTCTGGGTCCCTCCAGGGGCTCCTCAGCCCCTGAGGATACCTCCTTTTGGGTCCCTCAGCTCCTATCTCCACTTCCTGCCCAGGGCCCTACTTTAGTGACTCCTTCCCTGGTCCCTTCTCAGTCACAATGAGGATGGGAAGTAACATCCATACCAACTGACCCCACAAAGGACTAGTCACTGCATTTAGCACTTGATCCCAACGTCAGCACACAGAACATATCACCCAAACCTAAAATACAGCGCTTACCTGTTCCCTAGAACAAAAGCCATATGCATGCACATGCATGTTCGCTCTTCTCATTTTAATAAAACCCATGATAATCTACACCCCCTTCACACCCCAGTGGAGATTGTTGGCACCACCTCAAACTTTACCACAACCATTTGTGTTTCCAGCAACAGGAAACCACGTGGCTGCAGAAATTGTCTGTCCAGAGCCCCATGACCCCCTCTGGGCAGGGAGAGTGGCTCAGGCTAAGAGTGACCCCTTGTATCTTTGCGGGCAGGGGGACAGCGGTGGGCCTCTCATGTGCAGAGACAATGCAAACAGCCCTTTTGTGGTCGTGGGGATAACAAGCTGGGGAGTAGGCTGTGCCCGTGCTAAGCGCCCTGGAATCTACACAGCCACCTGGGACTACCTGGACTGGATTGCTTCCAAGATTGGACCTAATGCCTTGCACATGATTCAGCCGGCCACCCCTCCCCCACCTACTACTCGACCACAACAGCCCCAAGTCCGACCACTTTCCTCCCGCCCTCCCTCTTCTCGCCCTCCTTGGTATTTCCAACGGCCAAATCGCCCTCCTCATTCTCCTCATCCTCCTCTTCCACACCCTTTTCTGCCACTTCAAACCCAATCCCAAACTCCTGCAGCTCAAGCTCAATCCCCACCCCAATTTTTACCCTCACCCCCACCTTCACCTCCACCCTCATCTCACACCAATCTTCCCCAAGGACTTTCTTTTGCCAAGCGCCTACAACAGCTTATAGAGGCTCTGAAGGGGAGGGCTTATTCTATCTCAAAGAGCTCTTACTATGAGATCACAGAGCTTCCAGAAACAATCCCCTCCTAATCTAACTCTGTTCTTAAAAAACCTGTGAGCCCTTCAACTCCCAAGAAAAAAAGAGAAATGAAATAAACATATATATTTATAAATAAATAAATGTATAAAGAGATGCTTTCTGGACTTCTATCTGCCTGTCCCAACTCAACTGAAACTTTCATCAAATCTACCCCCTCCCTATTTCACCTTCCAATAAAGTGAAATTGCTTATGAATTCATGTGTCTATATTTTTTTGGTACTGGGGATTGAACCTAGGGCCTCATGCTTGCTACGTAAACAGTCTACTACTTAAGCTATGCTTTTGTATTTCTTTTGTATTTGAGATAGGGGCTTGCTAACTTTGCCTTTCTTGGCCTCAAACTTGCAATCCTCTCTGCCTCTGAGTAAATGGGGTTATAGGTGTGCACCACTACATCTGACTCATGGTTTATTTTTTTATTTTGAATTTTAATGCTTGAATAAGGTGACCTGGGGCCATAACTCAGGTATGGTGTTTGTTTCATACTTAGTGTTAGAAATAAGGTACTGTCTTTGCATATGCAGTAGGGGATGATTGAACATTACCTATTTAAGTTCATTAACTGGCTTGTGGTAAACCTATTAGTTCCTGAATTCAGGAAGGAAAAAAAATATTTACTAAATCTTTCTAGGAATCACATTGGCAGAAGGGGGTATCTTTTGGGTACACCTGAGTTTTGAATGGCTTTCTACCATTTGTGGGTATGTAAGATTGTCTATTGCAAGGAACAGAAACCAGTTTGAGACCTTTTTTTGATAGGACTGGAGTTTAAACTCAGGGCTTCATGCTTGCAAAGCAGGCACTCTACTGCTTGAGCCCTACCTTCAGTCCATTTTGCTCAGGTTATTTTTGGGAGATGGGGGGTCTCATGAACTATTTGCTAGGGCTGGCCTTGAGCCTTGATCCTCTGATCTCAGCCTCCCAAGTAGCTAGGATTACCGGTGTGAGCCACCAGCATCCAGCCAGTTTGAGCCATTTAAATAAGGATATAGGAAAGTCCAGAAGCAGACACAAGAAATGGTGAGAAGTAGCTGATTGCCAGTGGCTCACACCTGTAATCCTAGGTACTCAGGAGGCAGAGATCAGGAGGATCATGGTATGAAGCCAGCCTTGGCAAATAGTTCATGAGACCCTATCTCAAAAAAACGTATCACAAAAAAGGGCTGGCTCAAGGTGTAGGCCCTGAGTTCAAGCCCTAGTACCACAAAAGAAGGAAGGAAGGAAAGGAGGGAGGGAGGGAGGGAGGGTGAGAAGTTCAGCCAGGCATGGGCAAAGTCAAGTTTTTCAGAGTGGCTGCTGATTGCTGGATCTGACAGAATCTGCCTTAGGTTGGGGTTGGCCCTCAGCCATACTGATCTGCTTGTAAAGTCCTGGAAAAAGAAATACTGATGGGCTCAGACCAACTGCCTTACTTCAGTCAAACTTGGTTGGTGGATGTGAGTCAAATACCCTGCTTCAAGCAGATAGGTCTTTTGATTTGAGCAAACCCAGAGTTCAAATAGGAGCCAGGAAGGAGTTTATATTAGTGAGCCCCTATTGTTACTAGCAGCAGTAGCTCAGTGCAATGGGTTTTATACCAATATAGACAAAAGTGGCATCCAGTCAAGTTATTACATCTACTGCACAGGAGAATCCAGCCATTAATTCACAACTAGTTATCCTTAAGTGGTTACTAAGTAGCAGTGTACTTATCTCCAGAGTGTGCCTGTGTACAGGTGTTAGTTTAATAATCACTTTCCTTACACTAGATTAACCACTTGTGGGATTAAAGATGGTAGAGAAGAGAGAGAGAAAGAGAGAGAACCCTGGCTTCTGACATTTACTTTTATGTCTGTTCGCCAAACTGCTTATGTGTGAGTAATATGTTCTGATGCCCTGGCTGCAAAGGCAGAGAGAAGGTACTGTGGCAGGTGGGAGGAGTCATGGGTAAGAAAGTCTGAGGGACAAGTCACTTTCCTGCCTGGTGAGACAGGGACAATGAAGTCTTCAGTTTTGGGATTCATTGATCTGCTTGGGTCCAAACAAAGCCGTGCTCTACTTTGCTTCAGGTCTGTGCCCTTGGGAAGATGCACCACAGGTCTGCATTACCATGAAATAAGGACAGGTGTGAAGCATTCAGAGCAGGGTTTGACATGCTACAGATGGTCACAAGTGTGGGCTGTCATATAGGAGTCCACTGGTAATGAACTGCTGGTGAATAAGCATATGCTTATCTTCAAGGGCCACTTTGGGGCCACCTTTTGCCCCTGTGTTACCCTTGAAATGCTTTGGTTATATAGGAGGGTTTTAATATCAGTCTGAGTGGCCCATAATTCTGTAGCATAGCAATATTAGGTTGCTCTTTAAAAGCCAAATTTTATCTGTCTCAGCTAAGAACTGGCATTGCTAAAACTGGAGTTGGAAATTAATTTTGTTGGCTTTTGGGCTCTCTCCCAGAGCCAGTTTCTTAATCTCCCTACTTGATATATCATCTTTGTACTTGGTGTCAGACAATACTTATCTCTAGATTCTAAGCAAATAAAATGCAAAGCTCTGGTCACAGAGCAGGAAAGAAAGCATTGTACAGGCCACATGATCCAGAGAGCAGAGACAGAAATGGCACTCTGAGCCAGACACAGAGCCGGGGGTCTTACAGGTGTGAGTGGTGGGGCAAGGTGTGCTCAGGCTAGCAGCAGAGTGAGCATGATCATCCCTTCTTTATGAGCTTTCTGTGGTCCAGAATGGGTTCTCCTACTCCTCCTCCTTCTAAGTGCTCTACCCTCTACCCTGCTCTGGACTTGCCACTGATAACTGACACCCAGGTCTCCTTCTTGGAGAGGTGGCCTATTCTCTGGAAAACCAAATTTGTATAGCTCTTAAAGTGCTATCATCTCTGATTCTAATTTTTCTTTTCTTATGTGGTATTGGGTTTGAAATCAGGGTTTCATGCTTGCTTAACAGGTACTCTATCACTTGAGCCATGCCCCAACTCATGATAGCCTGATATGCAGGTGGCCACAGAACTGGTAGAACATGGAGAGTCTAGGTGATGGCTTCTTGTTTACCTTTGGAAACTTCCCAAGCATATGAATATGTTGCTACATCATGGAATTCCCTCATTTTTCATTTCATACTACTTTATGATTTCTTTTCTATTTAGCAAATATAAAGATATTTCTATATGAACATGTACAGACCTGCCTTAGTCCCTCTAAATTGATGTTCCATTTGGTGGAGAGGCTCAAGTGGTAGAGCACCTGCCTAGTTAGCGTGAAACCCTGAGTTAAAACTCCAGTGGCCCCAAAATGAAAATGATAAAGGAAATTGATGTTCCATAGTAGGGCCATTTATAAGATACAGTGCCCTATTTCTTTCCTTGGAAGGAATATTTAACCTTCTACCTTCAAGAATGTTCATTTCTCTACTTGTCAACAGTGGTTCTTCTCAAATGTGTTGATATTTGCCAATGTAATAGATGTTCGGATTTTAGTTAAAGATTTGAATGAATTTGTTTATAAGTGAATTGAAGCTGTTCGATCTACCTTCATGTTCCTGTGGATATTTGAATCCTAAAAATGGTTCACAGACCTTGGAACAGATGTTTCCTGCAGGAGAAACAGAGGAAAAAATGGACCAACTTTACAATAAACAAAAACCCAGGGACCTGGGGTCAGAAGAATGTGCTGTTTCTCATGGGATGGTTGAGTGAAAGATGTCCCCAACTCCATGCTGAGGATCAGACCCTGGACCTTTTGTATGCCAAGTAAGTACTCTGCCACTGAGCCTTAACCCTAGTCCCCATAATAAGAACTTTTAAACATTGAATTCATAGTGAATCTTAGATGCCAGCCAGTCTGTTGGTCACCTCAGTGCTCACTCAGGGACTCATGAGCATAGTGGCCATAGTGGCTGAGTTAGAGTCTGTGCACAGGTTCCAAGGCTGAGAGACTAATGATGTTACATGTTCAATAGAGAGCAACACTGAACCCCAGTGTGCATGATCTTCTGAAAAGGCCAACTCGCTGTTTGGTGGCAAATTGATCATATTGGTCTATTCCACCCTAGAATTTACAATGTCTCATGCTTTAAATGAAATTTGTTGAAGTATGTTCTAGATGTGGGCTTGCCTTCTCCACCTGCAGAATCTTATCCAGCAGGTTCTTGTTTTCTCTACCAATGCAGGATCTTGCAAAGTATCACCTCAGGTCAAGACAACTACTTTATAGCTTATAAGTGCAATGGTAGCACATGGCTACAGGGCACACCATCTAAAAAGCTACAGCAATGAAAGTCCTTTTAAAGACCCAGATGAGGTACCCATTTGGAAGTGACACTGGTAGGGTGGGGCCCTTCAGTATGTGGTATACAACTCAATAGTCAATATATGGTTCTGTGTACCTTATCTAGTAACCAGGGGTACATGTAGGAGTACCCTGCTCACCATCTCTCAATGACATACTTAGAGAAATTGCTTCCTGCCTGTAATTGTAGGGTCTGTGAGTGGACGTCTCTGTGTGTGTGTTTGTGTGCTTTCTGCTAAGTGACAGAGTTAAGAGTTTCATGAAACATAAAAGCCATGGCTGCTTTCTTAACACTCTACATGCTAGTAAATTGGTAAGCAAAGAAAGAGGTAGCTAACCCTGATCATTAGGAGGGAAGGATGTTGCTATATAGCAGAAGGAGAGAGGAATGCACTTGGTACTCAGGTGATTCATGCTATCCAGGCACTTGCATGTCCAGCTCTAAGTGCAACCACAGCCTCATAAGAGCTCAGACCCATCAGGCAAGAGGAGGAAGATCTACCCATCAGACAAACCACTTAGCCCAGAGAAGGGTGGTAAGAAAGGGATATGATGTTTTGATCTCCAAGAGCAGCAAGGGCTCTGGTTTTCCTTTTCCACTGACCATTCTCTTTTACACTTCTCCAAAACTTGTAACCAGTCAGCTCTGCCTAGATGGAATGAACTATTTAAGCAGGTGGATCTCAGCAATGTAAAGGAGGACAGTTGTGGATACTGTTGGCACCCTGCCTGAGCATCTATTCTGCAATTGCTGTGTGTTGGTGAATAAAATGTACAGCTTTACCTTTCCCCAGAGAAGTAAGTGCCCTCGCTAAAGGAGGCTGTGTGCTACCCCTCCACTTTACACATGTGGCTGACAGACAAAAAAGGTCCCCTTGCCTTGAGGCAGGACCAAATCTGGGGCAGTTTGTCCTCCAGAGTTTTCCTGGGGTTGGGGTTTGAAGGTGGTTTCCGGGTGAGACCACACCTTGCTTAGCTTGTCTCCTGTACAATCTGTTCCCCTTACTTCTCTTTGGAGAGAATGGCCGCAGTAGGCCATCTAAAAATTGTCTTCTCAGGCTATTTCTAGGGAACTTGATCCAAAGCAGCTATGTAAACTCAATACTGATGGTGAATTTTACAGTATGTGAAGTCTATCTCAACAAAACTGTTGAACTGGGGGAGTAGCCCAGTGGTTTAGAGCACTTCCTTGTGTTCAGTCTCCAGCACTGCAAAACAAAGAAATAACCTACCCCACAAAAAACTCCACCCAACTTATTATTTACAATAATAAAGATTTTTTTCTCTTTTAAAAAAAATCTCACCTCATTAGAGTGGTGCGTCCCTGAGAAAGTGAGTATGTGAGTATCACTTATTTAAAGGGAAAACATGTTTGTTCTTGAGCTCCCACTATCAGTACTTGTTCTTCTTAAAACACTAAATTCTACTAAAATGGTCTCCTATAGTCAGTCAGGAGTTAACTTAGTCTGTGGCAGATCAAGGCAATCTTTTGTCATTAATGTGGTTGATGATCTGTCTTTTTCTCAGTGCACCTCTGACACAAAGCACAGACATACTCAATGTTTATATAAGTCAATATTTATTGTAAAAAAGAGAAAACAATAAAACAAAACAATGAAAACAATGCAAACGATGCTCAAGATGATCATAAAAGCATACTAGCAAGTCTCAGGTACTGGGCAGGGTAGGAAAGGCAGCAGGACAGCTCTTCCTGAACAGTCCTTGGCTACTATGAGGCATAGTATCCAACTCATTCTACTAAAATGGAGTAAAGCTTCTATGCTGTTGGGGAGGCTTTAAAAGAAGCTGTTCAGAAAGCGGACTTCTTGTAATCCAAAAGGGTATTCCTTGCAGCACAACTGTATGACCTGATGTTTAAAAGTAGTGTCTGTGTATGACCAGATACAGCTAAACCTGTCACCTGTTTTTAGTTAACTGTAATGGAAACCTCTTCCTGTCACCTTGGCCTTAAGAGCTCCTGAAATAGTAGGTGCTCAAGAAAAGTTGTATGTTTAAAAACATTGTTTAAAAAGTTCGCTGGGAGACTCAAGGGGAAAAAAGGACAAAGGCCTCTAGATTCTGCAGGGGGTAATGGGTTAATCAGGGATTAACAATCACTCTCTTGGCAGGAATACAACTAATAGTCCCTGAGGTCAGTTTTGGGAGGAAAACAACTCAAACACCTAAGTGTCCATTTACTAAAGAGATACAAAAGTGTGTTCCCTGATTCTCTGCTGTGCAGCTGGGGGTTGGGGTGGGAAGGTGTGAAAGACACTGATCCTTAATCCTGCTGCAAGGAGGTTAGTGGGATCTTATGCCTGTCTAGTGTGCTGGTGCTGACCTCATCCTGCACCACCAGATGGTGGGTTTGCAAGAGGCTGAGCAGGGTTGGTCTGGAGAGGTTCTCCATTCAGAGCTGAGGGGTATTCCAAAAGGCTCCCTCCACGTCCCCAAGTCAGCCATGTGAGGCTGGAGATGGGCTCTCAATCCTGCCACACTGCTCTTGGTCTGGTTCATCCTCCTCTTTCTGCTCCAACTTGAAGTTCTGTAAACAAGATCACAAGTGAGGACTGGCCTTGGCATTTGCCCAACTGTACCTCTGATACATTTAGGGGTGGCAAAGGCAGGCAAATGCCATTATATTGGATTATGTTCCACATCTCTGGGGAAGAGGCCCTGGAAACTGGGCCTGACCTACCTCTAGCTCCTGCAAAACCTCATCCATGAAGTCCTGGGAATTCTGTTTGTAAGACACAGCTAATCGAATTGCATCATTGAAGAGCTGAAGGTGAGGAAGAGATGGTAGAAACAAAGTGTGGCAGTGGGCAGAGGGTCCTGGACCCCACCCCCAAAACTGACAAGCTCACCTTCAATTCACCTCCCCATCAACCTGAACCCATGCACAGTCAATGGACTTTTTCCTTAACAAGTACAGGCCCACTACCCTTTTCTGTCCCTGCCACTGCCTGCTCACTGCCCCCGTCCTCATCACTTCCATTCACAGCCTCCCTGAGACTTCAGCACCTATGCCCCACCTCTCCAGCTGCCTCTGAAATTTACCATTACCTTCACAACGTTGGTACCATTGGCAGCTGAAACAAAGTACATGGGCAGGGAGAACTTCTTGGCAAAATTGAAGCTTTTCTGAGTCACCTGCATGTCTGCTGCAGAGAGAAGCAAGGCATTGACCTATGTATTCAGGGAAAGGGAGAAGGGGTTTGGATGGTTATTGGGGGTCCTGTGCCAAAAATTAGGGCACGTACCATCACAATCAGGGAATGCACTCTCAAGAGTGTTCAGTTAACAGAGATCTATGTCTTGGCATAGACAGGTTGGCTCAGCTGGCATCTCTACCAGGAAGGGGAGTAGCTTGGGCAGGATAAATCACTGAAGGCTGCCCACCCCAGGAAAGGAGGAAATGTGGTGGGTCCCCAGGAATCTCTATCACCCAGGTGCAGGGATGGCCCCACCATCGATTTTATTGGCTACCACGATGCATGGGATCTCCGGCCTGAACTCCCGAAGCTCTGCATACCAGGTATCCAGGTTCTTATAGGTGACTTTTCTCTGTACATCAAACACCTGCAAAGGGCAGAAGACAGCTTAGGTGTGTTGTTTGTGTATTCCATTTCTATGTGACTCATATCACCAAGCAGGTGAGTGTGAGTATGTGCCACAGGATGGGAACTCAGACCAGCACTGTAGCCAGAAAGGGCCTGAGAGGAACCAATGGACATGCATCACAGGGAGGCGGTCATTCCCAGGTAGAAAAGAGATGTGAGCTCAAATACCAAATACAGTAGGACCGAAACTAAAATAAATGGCCAAGGCTGACCTTCCTGCTCCCAAGGGTCATACTTCTGGCACTTCACTGCCAATTTACTTTACCTCATACCCTCTTTTGTTTAGTAAGCTTAATATTAGTATTACAAATTTGGAAATTCTCAAGGGCTTAAGGGATTGTGAAGGAGCCGGGTGACGAGTCCCTTCCTTTATCTCAGGAGGGAAGAATCCCTGCTGTCCTCACTGTGGTGTCTACCACCTGGCACGCCCCCGTGGGCAGACTGTACACACAAATCACAGGCGGTCCATGTGCCACAAGTGGTCAGAGTCCATGGTGCACACAAGAAAGAGAAGCTCTAAGTCGGGTGCTGGTGGCTCACGCCTGTAATTCTAACTTCTCAGGAGGCAGAGATCAGAAGGATCGTGGTTCGAAGCCAACCTGGGCAAATAGTTCTGCGAGAGACCCTATCTCGAAAAAAAACCCATCACAAAAAAGGGCTGGTGGAGTGACTCAAGGTGGAGGCTCTGAGTTCAAACTCCAGTTACTGGAAAAAAAAAAAAAGAGAGAGAAAGAAACTCTAATAAACATCAGAGAAGGCTGCATGGAGATAGTGGTATCTAAGCAGGGTCTGAACAATGGGCACTGTTTCCAGTGAATGGGTGTGAAGGAAGAGCACAGGTGTAGTGAGAATAGACCAGCAGCTCCTTCTGTATCCTTTCTGCTGCTGCTCCTTATTGATGAGATGACATCCCATTCAGGGTGAGGGCAAGGCATGCACAGTGCAGGCAATCACTACAGTGGAGGTAGGACTGGAAGGGTGAGTGGCGTCAAATACTACTGAGTGACAAGGCAGACTTATATACCATTAATGGTGGCAACTTATCCACTCCATGTGCCCACCAGAGATGTGTAGTCACCCTTTGTGACTACAGCCAGAGTGGGATCATGTGACTTCCAGAGCTAGGCCACGAGGCAATACAACCTCTACCTGGTTTTCTTTGATTGCTCAGTCTTGAGATCTAGCTGCCATTCTGTGTGCAGGCCCACATCAGCTCACACTGACAAAGTACTTGGAGAGATGCATGATGCAGTACCTGTTGGTCCAGCCAGTATGTGTGGAGGTGGCTGGTATGCAGCCTCGAGGTTTTCTCAGTTGAGACCCCAAACATTATGGATTCCTGACCCAGTAGAAAATGGTTGTTTTGTGCCACTAAGTTTTGGATTCTGTGTGAGCAAGACGTTGAATGATATTCTAAGATGTTTGAGTGACTGAGGTTTTTACTTGGTGACAATTGCTAGTTTCAGGAAACCAGTTATTGGTCTGGGGTGCAGTTCAGCAGTGGAGTATGTGCAGCATGTGCTTAGCTTGCACAGGCCCTGGGTTCACTCCCCAGTACCAAAAAAGAAAGAATGAAAAAAGCCAAAGCAGTGTATTAACTCATGTGTTAGATGGTTGATATTCATGAAAATGTTTTATAAGTGTACCCAAAGAAAAATACATTCCTCTCAGTATCTAAGAGTGGTGGCCTCAGAAACAAACAGGGAACTTATGGGTAGGATCTCCTGGGTCACAGGTTCCTACAGCCCCTTCTTAGCTCTTTCTACACTGCATTTTAGGTGCTCCTATGGAGCTTACTACCCCTGGCCACTGAGTGGAACCCTGATGACTGCAGTATAGAGCACAGTGACAGGCTGGGAGGGAGGTGAGGGCTGGTCAGAGGAAAAAGTCCCTAGGAAGCTCCAGGCCCTGGGAGCTTCTGTTGGGGAGTGTGCTCCATCAGGGAAGGGCTATAGCCCTGTCTTAGCCATGTTTGCCTCTTGAGCACTATATCTGCTCTTGGAGCCCTGAGCTTGTTGTTCCTTTCCTTTACCTGTCCCCATCTGAGGACAGCTCATCTGGCATATTTTCACTTAGAATCTCTGGGGAACACATGTGATTTGAAGCATCCTGGGTGGCCTTGAACTCCCACAGTACCCAGCTTTGATAGGAGGGCCCAGGACCGTTGAAACCCTCATCCCCTCACCCCTCAGGTCAGAATTACGCAGTGTCTTTGTCTACCTCCCAGCTGGTCTCGTACCATGATGCAGGCATGGGCCTTGTGGTAGTAGGAGGCGTGCATGCTCTGGAACCGTTCCTGGCCTGCTGTATCCCAAAAGTCTGCAACATGAACATAGCTCTGACTTCCTGATGGGGCTAGAGGGCAGAGAGACCCACATGCCCCAAACATTTCTGTGTGCAGCTCTCTGCAGAAACATGACACACATGTGGTACAAAGCATAGCACATGTGGGGAGCAAGGGAAGGAATGGACACTGTGCAGCTCCACATGTGTCCCCAGGACACAGTGCCAATGGCCAGGAGGAAGGACAATGCAGACAGGAAGTCCCAAGAGAGGGAAGGTAGGTGTCTCTCTTCCCCACACTCAAGATGCAGGGCCCTGTAAGGCCTACATTTCCATGTGCAGTGACACAAATGGTAGATAGGCAGGATGTGTGGTCTGGCCAAGGAGGAGGTTGTGACCTTATGGAAGGTCAAGCACTGAATGAGAGATAATGTTCAGGGCACATCTGCTATTTCTTTATACTGGCTGCGTAAGAACCCTTGAAACAAGGAAATCTATTGCCTTGTCAAAGGTCTCTGCGCTCTTCTTTCTGGCAGGTACAGCCTCCCAACATCTGCTTTCTGAACCCTATCCTGCATACTAGTCCTGGCCCTGGTGCCATCAGAGGCTACATGCCCCTGCATTCTTCGTACTACCCTCCCTGGTTCCCCATTTACCTCCCTCCTTTAACTTTTCCTGCAGACCTCCTCTCACCTTCCCTCTTCTCCCACTTCCTCCCATTTGAGGCTCAGCATGGCCTGAGCCTGTGCTGCTCACCCACAAGGATGGTCTTGCCGTCCACTGTGGCCGTGTGCTTATACAGAGTCAGGGCATATGTGGACAGTTGCTGTGGCTGGCTGCACACAGGTTAAGGAGTAAAGGTGAATAAAAGGGGACAAAAGAAAAGAGTAGGGAGGGGAGTGTTTGTGTGATAGAATATGTCCTCTCCCTCCTTTTCTTTTTGGAGTTAGATTTACATTGAATGAATTCAGCCTCACTCCTTGGAAGGTGAGGGCAGCAGGGGCTGGGAATGTGTTCTGGACATCTAAGTCTGAGGTAAACATGGAATAGGATTTTACAGAAAGAGTGTCATAAAATTGGAAAATACAACTGTGAATGCCTCAACGCCTTCATGGACAGAGCTCTTGTAGGCTAAAAAGGGAACACCAACTCCAGGAAGCAACACGACTGTTCCATGGAAAAGAAGTTCCCATGACAAGCTGTTTATAAACTGAAGTTTATAAACTGAAGTTTGCCTGTATGTCAAACCCTAACAGAAAACCTGGGAACAGCACCTTGTGAAGCTGAATGGTGCTGGATGGTTTAACCAGAAATGCCAAAACAATACAGAACTGTTTGGTACAAAGTAGAGCAAACTATACCCAGATCCCAGGGTGGCTGACATCAGCTTTGTGGAGGCAGGGTTGGGAGCAACAGGCTCCAGGATTCTTCTCACTTGCAGTTCTCAGTGGATCCACCTGGGAAGCTTTTTGAAAAGTTCCCAGTTATCTGGAAGGCCTTACTCCAAACCAGTGTGATAATTCATAGGGGGGAGAAGCTTGCACCTCATAATTTACAAAGTTCGTTCATATCACAGACGTTTTAAATATTAGGGGGCCCAACATTAGAGGTAAGCAGGGTTTGAATCCAGGTATTTGATCCAGACTAAGTGCTATCTGCCATTCTTCCTACCTTCGTAATGTAAATGAAACCAAAATTTTAGTAAGCTGCAGCATAGACAGCACTGATTGTGTGATGTTGTGTAGGTCGAACAGTGAGAAGCCAGTGTGAAGGAAACCCATGTGTTCATTACCCATCACTCTTTCCTGGGCTTCTGCTGCAAAGGGCTGGGTGGAAGGTTGAGATGCACAAGGGTGGGAAGAGCCACAGGAACGAGGGGCCTTTCAAACCTTGAAGGATACAATCCATCCATGAGAAACCTCTCCATGAGTCTGTAAGGGGAATGTGCAAAGTGGAATGTCAGGCGGCATCCCTATCTCTTTCTTATCCCTGTCCCTACTTTATCACTTCCTGTCACACAATTTCTAGGTCAGGCCTGAAATCCGGGAATTATCATTACCAACCCCTCAAAGCAAAACCACTCAAGTCACTGAGTACACAGACCTGCCCATTTATTGCTCTCACATCCATTATTTCCACCTTAGCACACTGCTGTACATATAATCATCCCTATTTTATGCATGGGGAGACTGAGGCCAGGAAGGCTGCACCCTCCACCCAAAAGCCATTTCTGCATATCCTTAGGGCTTTTCTCAAATGTCACCTGAGCAGTGAGTTCAGGTCTGATGACTCTATTTAAGTCGTTCTACCCATCTTGTACACTTTATCCCTCTTTGCCCTGAACCTAACATCAAATGAAATACTGGGTATTTTGCTTTACTATCTCTCAATCAGAATGGAATGTGCACCAGAGATTTTTGAATCCATAGTTATTGTTATATCCCCAATTTCTAGAGCCGTGCAAAGGTGCAGGGGTGCTCGGTTGGTATTTGAACACATGAATGTAAACATAGTAAGCTAAATTTAACACATATCCCTGCAGTCAAGGACATCTCTGAATTTTTTTCTGGCTATTACATCTTTTATTGGCCACCAATTAGACCATATGGTAAATCTCAAAAAACAAAAAATCCCAAACACCTTCCCCAGAAAGATCAAGATCATATTCTCTGACCATAATGCATGTAAGATAGAAATAAAAAGCCCAAACCAAAATTTAACAGCACTATGTTTTACAAATGAAAGATAATCAAACATATTGCTACTTAGAAACTGGGTATGTGCCTATAATCCCGGTACTTGGGAGCCTGAAGCAAGAGGACTGTAAGTTTGAGGTCAGCCTGGGCTATGTTGTGAGACCCTGTCTCAAACAAACAAAACCAAAACAAAAGAGAAAACCAAAAACTACTACCCCTCCCCCCAAAAACAACCCAAAACCCACTTATAAATAACTTAGGTGCTAGACGAAGAGAAGGCAGACAGACTAGGCCAAAGGGGCTCAAGGACGATCCAATGGTATGTGCCCTGGTTTCCTTTTGTGTTCTGTATACCCCAGATTTGGAGGTGAAGAAGCAGGCAGCCTGGAAATAACAACAGGCACAGAAAAAAGGGCCACCAAAATACTAACAGGTACTGGAATAGGCAAGGGTGCGGCCAGGATAAAGTTAATTTGAGTACAGTTCCACGTCCATTCTCTAGCTAGGTGGGACCCTATCAGATGGCAATGGCAGCCCCCCCGCCAGTGGCAGCTGAGATGGTATGAAGCCCCCAGTGGCAATGATGGTGGGGGACGCTGCTTCTGTTGAAGCTGTGCCACAAGAATAAGCTGGCTACAACACAACGTTTAAATAAGACCAGTGGCGTCTAGCAGGATACCCAAATATACAAGTTTTGACAGAAAATCCTTTGTCACACCCAGAACCAGGAAGATGTAAAACTAAATAAGAAAAAGAAAAGCAATATTTACCAACACTGAGATGATACAGATACTACAATTATCTGACTAAGCTTTAAGAGCCCATGCCATAAAAATGCTTTAATGAGCAATTATGGATGTGCCAGAAACAAATGAAAATTTAGACAGTCTCAGCAAAGAAATACAAAATTTCAACAGAGTATTTTCAGCACATAAATAGAAGTTATAAATTACCTAATGGAAACTTGAGAATATTTGGAAAACATAGCAACCGAAATATAGCATCCATCCACTGGATGGCTCAAGGCAGAGTAAAGAGCAGAGAGGAAACAATCACTGAATTTTACAATACAACAACAACAACAAAATCCCCCATTATGGACAGCAGCGAGAAAACAAAGTGAAAAGAAATGAACACAGCCTCAGGGATCTGTAGATCTAAAAGATGACATTTTTGTCACTGAAATCCCAGAAGAAAAGGAAAAAGAGGATCATGCTGAAAAGTAGAAGAAAAAAAATGCCAAAAAACCTTCCTAAAATTATAGAGAAGATGTAATCCTAGAGTCAAGAAGCTGAGCAAAAGTCAAACAAGATAAACCTAAAGAAATGTATACCAAGACAGCATAGTCATCATGTAAATGCTAAAGACAAAGGAAAACAACAACCTATCCTATACAAGAACCACTCCTATAGTGGGGAGAAATCTGTACTTACAGGGGAAAAAAAGAAATCAACCAATGACAAAGAATTCCTTCTCAGAAACCATGCAGTCATAGGAAGTGGTACACATGAGAACTCACAAGAACTTTTAGCCCACAATCCTAAATCCAGTGAAAATTCTGAGACTGGAGGAGAATTCTAGATTTTTTTTTTTTTTCACATGAAGGAAAATAAAGAGAAATTGTTTCCAGCACACTATCCTAAAGAATGGTTAAAGGAAGTTCTGGACAGAAAATGATAAAAGGAGTCTTGGAATATCAGAAAAGAAGAAAGAAGGTCAGAAAAAATACTAGAAAATTTCCATAGAAAGTCTTCTCCCTTTTAAAAATTTCAAATTAATTTTCATGTTTAAAGCAAAAATTGTAATACTGTCTGATGGAGTTCTCAATTATGAAGAGGAAATATTAAGTGTCTATACTTGAATTGGTGTCAACAATAGACAATATTGTCAACATTAGTTGACTGAATATAGATATATAATATACTACCTAGAACAGCTACTACAAGAGCCAATACAAAGAGATACACTCAACAACACTATAGGTAAGTCAAAACTGAAATCAAAATGCTTAAGTAACGCACAGGAAGGCAGAACCCTCCCGCCAATGAAAAAGAAAAACCAAAGTTAAAATGGCAGACTTAAGCCCTAACAAATCAATAATTACAATTAAGTAATATGAAACATTTTTAGGCCAGACTATATGTTAGTTCACAAAACAAGTCTTAATAAATATAAAAGATTCAGATTATATGAAGTATGTCTTTTTTTTTTTTTTTTTTTAACAGTACTGTTGTTTGAACTTAGGGCCTAGTGCTTGCTAGACAGGTGCTCTATCACTTGAGCCATGCTACCAGCCTTTTTTGCTTTTTTTAATTTTTGGGATAGAGTCTCATTTTTTGCCCAGGCAGACCTGGACCACTCTTCTATTTATGCTTCCTGTATAGCTGAGAAGACATGTACCACCATGCCCAGCTATTGGATGAGATGGGATCTTGCTACACTCCCCACCCTCCATCCCAGTGTGGCCTAAAAATGCATTCTTCCTGACATCTGCCTCCTGAATAGGTAGGGTTACAGGAGTGAACCCCTGTACTTGGGTTTTTTTTTCTTTCTCTTCTTTTCTTCCCTCCCTTCCTCTCCTGTCCTCTTCTGTCCTCTTCCCTTCTCTCTCCTTCCCTCTCTTTGTGTTGCTCAGGTTGGTCTTGAACTCCTGACCTCAAGTGATTCTCCCACCATAGCTTCCCAAGTAGCTACAACAACAGATGCGTGCCAATGCCTGGTTCAAAGTATCTTTTTCAATGACCATGAAATAAAATTGGAAATAAGTAACAGGAACAAGTGGAAAATGTATAAACATGCAGAAATTAAACAACATATGCTTTAACAAGCAAGGAATTAAGATGAAATTATAGGGAAATGAGAAAATACCTTGAGATGAATGAAAATGTAAATACAACACTCCAAGACTTATGGGATAAAGCAGAAGTGCTAAGAGGAAAATACTATATAGCTGTGAATAAATACATTAAAAATGGAGATTTCAAATCTACAAAGTTGTTTTAAACTGCCTGCACAGTTTAGTGTACTAGACAAAGAAGAGCAAATTAAACCCAGAGCTAGCAGAAGAAACAAAATAGTAAAAGTCAGATTGGAGTGGAACTAAATAAGAGAATAGTAAACCAACAGAAAAAAATTAATGGAACCAAAAGATGGTTCTTTGAAAAGATCAATAAAATTGACGATTCTCTAGCTAGACTAACTAGGAAAAAAGAGGAATGACATAAAAGGTCAAAATCAGAAATGAACCTGGAGACATAAGCATCAATTTTACAGACGTAAAAAGGGTTTTAAGAGACTACTATGTATGCCAAAAAATGGGATACCCTAGAGAAATGGACAAAGTCCTAGAAACACACAAACTGCCAACAGAATCAAGGAACAGAAAACCTGAAGAGATCCATAACCAGTAAGGACACTAAATCAGTATTCAAAAATCTCCCAAAAAATAAAGCCCAGGACTGGCTAGCTTCAATGGTTATTTTTTTTTCTTTTCTTTTTGGCAGTACTGGGGTTTGAACTCAGGGCCTTGTACTACGTGAGCCATGCCTGCAGTCTTTTTGATTTAGTTTATTTTTCACTTAAGGTTTTGCCTTTGCCCTGGCCTTGGATGGTCCTACACTTTCCACATGGGATTACAGTTGTGAGTCATCATGCTCAGCTTTTATTTTTTTTGTTGAGACAGGAGCCTTGCTAACTTTTTCACCTGGACCGGCCTTGTACCACAATCCTCCTGATCTCTGCCTCCCGAGTACCTGGGATTACAAGCATATACCATCAAACCTGGCTTCACTGGTTAATTCTATCAACCATTTAACAATCTGTAAAAATCCTCCTTGAACACTTCCAAAAACATAACGGGGAGGAAATACTTCATAAGTCCTTCTATAAGGCTAGTGATAACCTAATCCGAAGCCAATGACACTATAGGGAAAGAAAAATACAGGATAATATCCCTCATGAATACAGAAGTAAAAATCTTCAACACAATAAAATATTCAACTCAAATTCAGTAGCATATTAAAAAGATTATATGCCAAAGGAGATTTTTCCTTGGAATACAGGGTGGTTCAATTTAAGAAAACTGATCAACCCAGGACTGGAGGTGTGGCTGGCAGAGCATCTGCCTAGTAGGTGCAATGCCCTGAGTTCATGAGTTCAATCCCCAGTACCGGAAAAAAAAAAAAAAAAAAAAAAAGAGCAAGAGAGAGAGACAGAGAGAAATTGGTTGTGTTTCTATACAGTGGCAATGAACAATATAAAAAATATAGTTCCTTCTACAGTTGCATAAAAAATTACTTAGGAATAAATGAAACCAATGAAGCATAAGACTTTTAATACTAAAAACTAGAAAATTTTGTAGAAAGAAATTAGGTAAGACTAAGCAAATGGAAAAATATCTGTATCCATGAATTTGAGGACCAAATATTGTTAGGTAGAGAATACCACGCAAAGCAATCTCTTTCAAAATTCCACTGGAAATAGAAAAACACATCCCAAAATTCATAAAGAATTTCAAGAGCTCCCAAGTAGTCAAAACAATCTTGAAAAAGAAGAATGAAGTTGAAGGACTGCTAAAAACGTACTGTGGAGGTACTATAATCAAACCAGTATAGAATTGGCATCAGAATGGACATACAGAAATGGAATAAAGAGATCAGAATAAGACCTCACATAATACAGCTTGCTAGGCAGGTCCACTTGAGCCGTTCTGTCACTCTGATTTTTGAATAGGATGCAAAGATCAGTATGGGAAAGGACAGTCTCTTCAATAAACAGAACTCAGAAAACTGGGTATCAACATGCAAATTAATGAAGCTGAACCTTTACCTCACACCACATAAAAATTAACTAAAACAGATCAAAGACTTAAAGACCTAAAACTATTAAACTCTTGAGGGAAAATATAGGGGGAAAAATCTTCATGACCTGAGTTTTGGAATGATCTTTTAAATATGACATGAAAAGCACAAGAAATCAGAGACTCAGATTAATTGGATATCAAAATTAAAGTTATTTTTTTTTTTTTATGGTGGGACTGAGGTTTGAACTCAGGGCTTCACACTTGTAAAACAGGTACTCTATCACTTGAGCCACACCTATAGTCCATTCTGCTGTGGTTATTTTGGAGATGGGGGTGGTGTCTCATGAACTATTTGCCTGGGCTGGCCTGGAACCATGATCCTACAGATCTCAGCCTCCCAAGTAGCTAGGATTACCGGTGTGAGCCACTGGCGTCTGGCAAAATTAAAAACGTCTGTCACCCAAGAAAGTGATGACAATCTACAGAATAGGAGAAAATATTTGCAAATCATGTATCTGATGAGTTTATTAAGGCAGGTGGCGTGGTTATAAGTGGGGACAAAGGGAAGGTTCTTATTTGTCTGAAGCAGGGTCTGATCCTGTAGCACTCAGCATTTGGGCAGTGAACGTCCATTAAAAGGGTCCAGGAAGGACAATCAGACAAAAAATTGGTTGGCTCAAACATTGTTAGGACATCTGTCAACAGAATCCAATGCAGGATGCTGTCACATGCAAGGAGTGAGGGAAAAGCCTCTATAGTAGGCAGTGCCCAGGTCTGAGGATGCCTGGTAATGGGGGTGGGAATTGGTACCCACCCTCAATGGAAGCCTGGGGTGCTCATATGGATCAACAGGCATGAATGTTCTGCAAGAGTTAAAAAAAACCCACCTTCATCAGAAGGCCTGGTGATTGGGCTTCCCATTAATGTAAATTCCTCAACTGCAAGAAGGCAGCACAGCCACATTTCTCCAGAACTGAGGTTGGGCAGAGATAGATGCTCTCCATATGGATGCACCCAGGTGCTAATGGCTCTTGATAAGCGTTCTCTCCCAACTGAGTTTAGAGTCACAGAATTCTAGAGTTCCAGTGAAGTGGAGCCAAAGTTTTCTCGCTTGGCCATCTTCCTTCAGATCCACTGTTTCCCCTACGGTCTCTGTCTCTGGAATGTTTGTGGTTTTTCTAGGGGATGGGGACTAACTTTTCTTTTAAGTGTCCTAGAGGCCAGCGATGCAGTAATCTTTGATGTCCTGTTAATGACTTATGCCTATTTTTTGTTATCACTTTAAATGAAACTGGAGTTGACTCTGGGGGTTGGAATTGACCCTTACTTAGCAGGCAGGTCCGTTGCTTCTTACTATAGATTATATTCTCCAAAAGTTCTATTAAGCCAACAACATGCTTCCTATCTGCCTGCCACTCCTATTCTCTATGTTGGTTTTGGACTCCAGTGGGAAAAAAGGAGCAGTTATTTATGGGTAACTTTCCCAAACTCTAACCCCTGTCCTTACTTTTATTGTGAAGGATGCTGATGAGGAGGTAAAAGCAACTGTAAAATATTAATGTAGAGCTTTAGTGCGTTAGTGAGGGGTGGGGAAGAGAATGTGAGTTCATGAGATGGTCTAAAACCAGCAAAGCCCCACTATTCACAGTCTAACGTAGAAAGTGTGGTGGCCTGGGGGTTCCTAGGAGATAAGATTAAACCAGTCAGTGAAGCAGGAGCAACTTTACCCTAACCCCATGAAGGCAGAAATGGGTGGGCACCCTCACCACTCCAGAAAAAAAGTAGGTTGCCTTATGGGGACTAGCTGTTGGCACTGCAGAACCTCATTTTACCTCTCCATGTAGAGAGTTCTATACCTGGCAGGTAGGCAATGAAAGAAGAAGAATAAGCTCATCTTTACAACCATTACAGTCAATTGTCATTGCTATTCACAATTCTCAATCTCAGTGAGTCCCTCTAAGAAAGCACCTTTAACTACCTTTATTCAACCTGTCACTTTCCTCACTCCATTTTCATAGCCCCACCCCTATAATCCCTCAGCTCACATGCCACATACAGGAATATCCCACTTCTTACCTGCTTACTCTGTACTATTCCAGTAGTTTCCAAGGTGACCTACTCTGCACCTTCTGTTAGGATGCTCCAATTCTTCAGTCTTACAAGATCCCTCCCTTCCCCCTGCCCCAACACACACAATTGTTGATGTGATTCCCTTGTCCCCTGGGCTCCAGCCAAGACTCCTCCCTCACCAGCCTATAGAAGCCACACTCTTCTGTGCCTCTGGAGGACTTTTCTAACAAGCCAGACCCATTCTTGCCAGTTTCTTCCCTAACCCCCAACATACTTGGACTTGCCCACTGCGCTGTCCCCCAGACAGATGATCTTCACATTGTCATCGGCATCGTATTTCTCTTGGTCCAGCTCATAGGGTTTTGTTTTGTTCTCTGCCATTGGCTCCTGGCTGTAGACAAGGGTCCAGCCAAGGGTCTTGTCACTGTCTGGGAAAGTTGACAAGAGGCTGCTATTAGAGATGAGAAGTTCCCTCAACCAAATGTTTTAAAAAAGCACAAAGCCCTGAGTTCAAACTCCAGTCCCACAAAAAAAAAAAAAATCAATCAAATGTATTTCTTCTTTCACCTAGACAGGAGCTAATGTCTAGCTCATCACACACATCCTTCTCCATTCACTACCACATGCAGAGCCTCAAGGCTGTAACCTTGTTTCCACAAGATTCTCCTATGTCATCTCCCTATTTACAGGTCAGACCACACTTCCCACTCTGCTCACTTCTACAACAGCAACAAAAAATACTGCCCATGTCACGTGGTAAGTGTGAGACACTGGCAAAAACAGCCTCAGTTCTCATCACTGAATGACACAATTACATAAAGATGTCTCACCCGTATTCCTAACAATCTGCCCTCATGCCTCCTACCTCCTCTTCATCTTTCTTTCTTCATCAACCAGCAGCTGCCTCTGCCTCCTTCCACATCGGTATTCCACAAACCTCTTCTGCAGAGAATATTTTTTAACCACTGGTAGTTTCAAGCATCTCCTAAATGTTGATGTCAAATTGTACGTACATTGAGATTGCTTCCCTCATTGCCAGACTCAAATATACAGCTGTCCACTAGGCCTGTAAGTAAGAGATTAAGGCACACAGGCCTTAATCTCCTGTGTTAAACACAAACAATACTTTTTTTCTGCCTACCCCAAAAGCTGCTCCTCACATTCCCATCTGTACAAGACATCACCAGCACTCAGTTCCAACACTATGTGTAACATCATCTCTAGCCTGTTTCGGTCTTCTCACACGCAAATATGACTCTGCAAACATTCTCAAGACTGTCCCATAGTCCAAGTTCTGAGCTGGCTAGGTACAGAAATGATACTTTGATGATGACCTAGCAGTGGGAACCTGCCCTCACCGAACACACATCACGAGTGGACCTTGCACTGAGTTCAAATGGTATGAGACACAGTAGTGGCAGGCAATCTGCTGCGGTAAGGGCTATGACAGAAGTGGGCACACCGGTGAGGGGCGGAAAATGCCCAACGGGCTCCGAGTGTCCCTGGATGTGCAACTGGACACTTTTGCTTCTGCAGAAAGGCTCCGGTACGCTCAGCCCTCAGCCTCTAGCGCAGTGGGTGGGAAGGGACAGATGGTTGGTGAGCATGTTCTGCCTCTTTTATGTCCACTCTGCAGATGGCGTGATACATTCGAAAGTCAAACTCAGCCTATTGCTCCACGCTCAATAGCACTTTCGATGGCTGTCCCTGTCCTCGAGACCCAGGGGCAATCCTTCTTTCATTCGACAAATAATTCTGGGGACCCACCATGCCTAGGCACCGCCCCCCGCACGGTCGAGAGAACGCATGGTCTGGTCTTTCCCTGGCCCTCCCTGGGCTCAGGACCCACGAACTGTCTCGGTGGGCGGTACCGAGAACTGCATCCCCCTCCCCCGACAGCTTCGTCCTCACGTGCGGTCTCTCGAAGTCTGGAAGGATCAGGGACGCCACAGACAAGCTGGCCGGGAACCCACAGCACACAGGCCCCGCGGCGGGCTCAGCTCGCGCAGCGCCACACCTTGCTTCCGGCTTGACT